CAGTTTCTTCCCGTCGGCAGTCGGGCTCATCAACAGAGCCCGGTCCCCCACTGCCTGACTATAACATTCCACCGGTCACTCCCCCTCATACTGCACATGCCACTTTAACTGCAATTCATCACTTTGTCACTTGTCACTTTGTCTCTTGTCTGTTACTTGTTTGTTAGTGCACTTTATGCTTAATATTTTTCTTTTGAACTTTTTAATATTTAAAATTTTGTAACTTTATTCCCTTGTTTTATACTAACCCATAGCCTTAGCCTTATTCTACTAACCCATTGCATCAGCATTTCATTCCAATTTATTTTATTACTTGTGCACTGTTGTCTTGTCTGTCTACTGTCGCGCACTAACCGCCAAGACAAATTCCTTGTATGTTTGACATATTTTGGCTAATAAATGTTTCCTGATTCCTGATTCCTGATTCCTGAACAGTTGTGGTGAACCAATTAGTACTTTCCTGTTTTATTTCATAACTCTCCGCTCCCCTTGTTACAGATCCATTCACTTCCTGCCTCAAAGTCTGTGAGTGAAGGGTGGGGATTGGGATTGGCCCCACGTTTCAGATGTTTCTCGTTAGCACTCAGCAGACCTCCTGCTCGCCTGTTCTCACATCAGTCACAGAGTTCAGAGACCAGCGCAGCTGCTTTGACCTTTTAGGACCAGGCAAGGGCTTGTTACCGCTGTGCTTTTCCTTGCTTGCATCTTCAACTCTCAGTTTGTGTATGCCTTTTGTTTGATAATTAGTTAAAGTGCACCAGCAAAGCAACTTCTGTTGCATGCACTCCAACAACAGCAACTACGAGAGTAGTTGGAAAACGAAGAAACAGTGACCCGAAAATGAGTTCATCACGATGAGCGACACTTTTAAAACAGCCCGAGACAACCCTCATAGTCCTAGTTATTAAGTGTGCAGGGAATCTAATTCACAATGGGTGTCTTGATTTCATATTTCTATGTTCTCAATTACTTTGGATGTGTCCGTCTACAGGTGGGAGTCTGACCATCTGGTGTCGTGGTGCAGCCAGAACAACCTGGAGCTCAACGCTCTAAAGACAGTGGAGATGGTTGTGGATTTCCGGAGGAACAGAGCCCCACCCTCCCTCATCACCCTGTGTGACTCCCCCGTCACTATTGTGGACTCCTTCTGTTTCCCGGGCTCCATCATCACCCTGGACCTCAAGTGGGAGCTCAACATCAGGTCCATCACCAATAAGGGTCAGCAGAGGTTGTTCTTCCTGAGGCAGCTGAGGAAATTCAACCTGCCAAAGACGATGATGGTCCACTTCTGGTACGCTGCAGCCACAGCCAAGGACAAGGGCAGGCTGCAGCGGCTGCAGCGTGTCATCCGCTCTGCAGAGAGGGTGATCGGCTGCAATCTGCCGTCCCTGCAGGACTTGTTCGCTTCCAGGTCTCTGAAGCGAGCTAAAAAGATCATGGCCGACCCCTCTCACCCCGGACAAAACCTGTTTGTGCCCCTTCCATCTGGCAGGAGGCTGAGGTCCATCAGGACTAAGACCTCCCGCCACACGAACAGTTTCTTCCCGTCGGCAGTCGGGCTCATCAACAGAGCCCGGTCCCCCACTGCCTGACTATAACATTCCTCTGGTCACTCTCTTTCATTCTGCACACGTCACTTTACTGTCATTTTTCACTCGTCACTTTGTTACTTGTTCGCTAGTGCACTTTATTTAAAAAAAATATTTTTTAAGTTTCTAAATATTTCTAATTTTTAACTTAAACTTTATTCTCTTATTTTATACTAACCAATAGCCTTATTATACTAACCCATTGCATTAGCATTTCATTTTATTTTATTACTTGTGCACTGCTGTCTTGTTGTCTATTGTTACTGTCACGCACCAACCAACAAGTCAAATTCCTTGTATGTATGACATATTTTGGCAATAAATGTGTCCTGATTCCTGATTCCTAATTTTGTGAAAAAGCATTATCTGACCAGAGATGACAGAGATGTGTGCTAACTTCCAAAAGTAAACTGAAATATTTCCGATATTTCAGCTCTTGATTTCTCTGGCTTTCAATCCTTTAGTCTTTTGTGGATGTTTGTGGGTATTTTAATGTGACATGCATTATTTTTACTCAGAATGTATATTCCTTTGCAAGGTTTAATCCTACAAACAAGGTTTTTCTTATTATCCCAGTGTTGTACAAGCAAGAAGGTTGTTCACCTTTTATTAGAAGTTTCTCCTCTGAGGGTTAGCAGAGCTAACAAATGGTCTGATGTTGAGCTCCCTTCAGTCGCATGCCAAATGCATTTCTGGCAATGTTCTGCTCACTGGGAGCAGCTATGCTATAGGGTATCATAGAAGAATACAATGGCACAATCCCAATGGCTGAATCCCAATGGCTGGATCCCAATGGCTCAATCCCAGTGGCTGGATCCCAATGGCCCAATAACAATGGCACTCTGAAAACCTTAAACCCTAAACCCTGAGGGACTTTCTGACGTCACCTGAAAAATTATTGAGTGGTAGAGTCTCCAAGGATTTGAAAATTTTTAATTAATGGGAGAGCACTTTGCTGCAGCGGATCACGTCACCATGACAACGTAAAGAAAATATGGTTTACAATTGTGGGCATGAGAGATAATTTCATGTTTTTTAATTGTTTCTTCAAAACAGTTTAAAAGATTAAATTAAATGTCTGGTGAATAGATAAGCAAAGGTCTCCTTAATTTCATGTGTTTTATAATCTTTAATTCTTAATGTGAGTCATCTTCTATGCCGTTACTCCCTGGAAGGTCGCAGGGGGACTGCAGTCAATCCCGGCTTGCATCGAGCGAGTCATGGGGAACACTTTGGAATTACAGGGCTGACATAGAGTCAGACACCCATTTACACAACTACAGACACATTCAGAGTCACCTACTGTGAAAGCCTTTGGACTGTGGGAGGAAGCCGGAGTACCCGGAGAGACCCCACAAAGGTACAGGGAGAACATGCAACCTCTAGCCAACCACTGGACTTAAAGGCTGTGAGTCCGTAAGGATGAATGGGCCAAAATCATGCATTATTAGGGGGCTTTGGAAGCTTTGACAGTCTTGGACAATGAGATTCATCCCCATTTACGGCTTTCATTTTTTAAAGTTCAATTCAATTAGATTTTACATTTCTATGCTATCTGCTTGCAGCACAACATGAAGACATAATTTATTTATTAGAGGTGCATTTGCCTTTATGCTAACAATAAACACTCTAAACCAACATTTAAATCTGCTAATGCTTTGAAATAGTTTTTAATTGAATGTGATGTGGAAGGATGTTTAAATACATCATTGGATGTAAATATGAATATGTGTTGTTAGGGTTTGGAAAGCTCTCGAGGGAGGCCTCACTCCTTTGTTCTCGTCCCGGCCGGAAACGAAGAATCAAAAGAGTCAGCTTGCTTAAATTCAAAAATCAAAAAGTATTTAATAACTAAACAACGTTATAAGGAATACAATTACAAAGTGAAATACAAAGCGAACAGTAAAATATTTTGCGAAATAGAGAATTCTCTGAGCAAGTCTAAAGTGACTTATCAAAGCGGCTGCAGGAAAATTCTAACAGTCCTTTGCCCGCTTTGGTCATTTGAAAACTCTTGAGGTGTGTCTTCTTTGGTGCATTTGAATGTCATTGGCTTCTCCTTCAAAGTGTCACCTCCTGGATCGTCCCCTTCACATCGAGGTGTGAAGCTGCAGCTGTAACCTGAAACCTCTCTGTACTATCTGTCCCTCACATTCTAATACATTCAATGTAGATACATTTGGCTTTATGCCTCAATGAGTGAATATAACATAGCATGCCTAGTTTAAGTCTTCATCTTCTAACTAGTACACTTTAATTACAACACATCATAAATGATCACCGTTCATCACTCTTCATCATAAGATCTAAGACAGTTCATGTGGTCCAATTCTCAAGACATTTGCCTCAGTTGGCTGCCTTACATTAAGTTGTTCATTTACTACCTGACAGGAGAAAAAACTCCCAAAAAACCCTCTTTGGGGATACAATTGGGAGAAATCCATAAAGGACGGCAATTAGCATCCGTCCCCAGGTTTTAACATCACATTGTGACAGAATGTTAATGTGTACAGTGTTTATATGATTTAAATGACTATCTATTGTGTTTGATTCAAATTGCATTCACTTCATCTAACATGTTAATGTAATAACTAATATCTAACATCACAAACTACAATTCTAGCACTAAACATTATTACACATACTAAAACTTCCATGACTAGGGGTGCACTTCTGGCTTAAATCCCTAACAGTGTGGACAGAAAATGATGAATAAATTATTTGGAATCTTTATGATTACGATCTGATACTTTATACTGATTGTAAAGATAATGAAGTAATTAGTTACTATTGCTTTATATTACTTGGAAGGCAGGTAACAATAATCGATTATGAAATGAATAAGTCTTAGTTCGCTTTTAAATGAGTAACCCATAAACTAATCATTGATTCATTATTATAGGATATCATTCAGTTGATAGGGAAGTTTTTATTATTATTACTATTAATGATTCATCAATTACCATGTCGTTCCTGATTCGTTAGGAGTTACTCTTCAAATGTTCCTCATTTGTTATTTGGTGCCAACTCAAACTGTGCGTCAACGGAAGAATGAAGGAGCTCAGCAACAGCTGCAGTGACTGCAGCAGAAACGCATTGATCCCCCTCAGCACTCTCATCCTCAGCTCCATTCCTCCCAATTCAAGGTAAGCTATTTGCATCCGTCTCCAAATTTGGCTTCATTCACATTTCCTCCCTTGTCATTTTCTCCCTCTGGAGAAAATACCTGCTTACCTGCAAGAGCGTGAGAAAATCCAAGGAAAAGGAGCGTTAGAAGTTCAGCAAATAACGCTCAGGTATTGGCATCGTTGTTTTCCTCACCTGACGTGTTTAGTTATCTATTTTTCAGATAGGCTACCTTCTTCATTTATTTATGGTTTATGTATGTTACTGTTTAGGTGATCACTGTGCATGCTTCTGAAGATCTAAACTAGTATTAACGTGATGCTCTTTTACTGTGCGTAAAACAGCGAACGAACGAACAGCACCTGCACCTTGCGGCACCAGCTACCAAATCGGACCAATACATAATTTATTCATCTGTTACACTGTTGAAGTTCCAGTTAGCTGTGCAGATGGAGTAGACCGTATAACCGCGGGATCATTGTCTTTTTTCTTCCTTTTTTGTGTGCCTCCAGTTAGTTCATTATGTTCCACCAGCTGACGGATCAGACGGTGAACGGCAGCTGCCGGGAAGCCGCCTCAGCCTGCAACACCAGCGCGGATGGAGACGCGCTCCAGCTGCCCACTTTCTCCACAGCGGCCAAAGTCCGAGTCATCATCACCTTCGGTCTGTGCGCGGTTTCCGCCGTGTGCAACCTGGTCGTGCTGTACGCCGCCGGCAACGGGGGCAAGCGCAAGTCCCACGTCAGGATCCTCATCATGAACCTGACCGTGGCGGACCTGCTGGTGACTTTCATCGTGATGCCCGTGGACGCGGCGTGGAACATCACGGTGCAGTGGCTGGCGGGAGACGTCGCCTGCAGGCTGCTGATGTTCATGAAGCTGGTGGCGATGTACTCGTGCGCTTTCGTAACTGTGGTCATCAGCTTGGACAGACAGTCGGCCATTCTCAATCCGCTGGGCATCAGTGAAGCCAAAAGGAAGAGCAAGGTCATGTTGACCGTGGCTTGGACGATGAGTGTAATCCTCTCCATCCCTCAGGTAGGAGAAAACACCTTTAGTTTGCTGTGTCCAATATACTTCCCTCTGTACCCACACTCTTCTTCTTGTCACATGCTGGTTGCACACATCCATCAGCATAAAACCTTGTTAAAACAGAACACAGTGTGTTTAACTTTAATTAATACATCTCTTTATTCGCTGAGGGAGGTGAACATTCATTGGATAATTTGTAAAGTCTGCAGGAAACATTTTAAGTACATTGAGTTAATCAAGGCAAAAAACATTAAAAATAATTGACATATTTGTAAATGTGTAAATTCAGCCTGCTCAATCAATTAAGATATTAATTTGTCCATGACAGGTTCTACACCTTGTGCTCATTAAATGAAGTGTAATTGTTAATTATAAGATGTGCGGAGCTTCATAATATGCATATGAAGGCCCTAGGCCTGTTGGAACAACACAATTCATCACACTAGTCCCGGAATTGGTTTTAGCCTGCCTACCACAAAGGAAGCACACGCTTGCTTGAATAGAATTGAATGTCTAATCCCGTGTAGCATGTTTTGAAGGTGTCATTGACCCGACAGGCTCTCATGAAAGCATCATGATAGCTTTTCAAGTGTGCCTCCTCAAACCTGTATTTCCTCCACCTCATCAAGTGCGACTGACACACTGGTGCAAAAGAAGTGAAGCTCTCACAGGGACTCCGTGTTGATTATTTGTCAGGACACAGGGATTATGTCCTCTACTCTTTTCACTGACTTTTGAAGAACATGTCAGTGGAGTTTTAAAAAAAATACGAATTGCTCACAAAATGGGAAAAATAAAAGTGCAACCGAGAGCTAAGCACTAAAATAAAACACATTGCAGTTATGAATCCATCCAGTCTAAAATCAGTATGCATTACATTCACTGATGGGAAATAAGGAGAAACTGCTCACAATGAGAACTGGTAGCAACCAGCCCTTAGCAACCCAATCCCTTACAATTGTTAATTCTGGACAGGTCCGTGATGAAGATGGTGGCGATGACACACGCCAAATGCCAATAAGACAGGAACTCATCTGGGGTTGCCCAGATGATATTTAATCATATATTCATAAAAGTCATTAAATGAATATGTGAGCCCTCTCAACTATACGTTGTTTGGCCTTGTGTCTCAAATATAAGAAGGAACATTGATGAATCAGTGCTTCTTCAGTGAACCCACCTGTGAGATGACAAGCTGGAGAACTTCAAAGACTGAACATCATGTCCGAGGGTCGGAGAGGCGGCTTGAAATTCAAAAAGCGAGAAAAAAGAATGAACTTACAGCGCTCCACAGTTGAAGGGTGAATATAGCAAAATATATTTTATCAGCAGGGAAAGCACCCAGTTATGGTGTTTAAGGAGTCATTATTTTTGAATACCTTCCCCCAAGATGGATAAAGATGCAATGCCTTTGAGCTTTCTTTGTTATCTCTGGAAGACGTGAGCCTGGGGTTAGGTTGTGCGTTAGACTGTGTGTGTGTGTGTGCGACTGTGTGGACATCCCAAATATCCGCATAGTAACATAGGATGCTGGAGGAAAAACCGGAGCGTTTGACTCATAAGGCAAACTATACTTGACACATTTACTGTCAAGTGAAAGTAGCTCAGCTGTGAAAAGCTCAGTTTGTCAGTCAGTGCATTCACCTTAAGCTTGATTTCTGGAGGTGTCAAACAGACTTCACTAAATGTGTTGATAAAAAGAAATAGCCAGCAGCAACACTTCCGATATTTTCAATTTTGGGTGGCTGCAGGGTTTTTACAAAATTCTACTTGTGTCTTAGACATCCTAGAGATTTGCATCACAGTGGAGACTGCCTTCAGTTTAAATTATATCACATCATTTCATGAAAAAAAGAACTTCCAAACTGATATGTAGACCCTAACCGACAGATATTTGACACATTTAGGTAGAACGCATAAATGAACATTTTGTGCATATAGCATCTTCAACTCATAATGTGTTTTTGTGTGTCAATTTATTTATTCCCATTTTGTGTTTTCCTGAACAAAGAAGCACAGGAACTCCATGAAGACACTGTCCTGGGAGGCAGTTCTTGTTTTTGGTTACGAGAACACAATTGGCCATCAAATTAATGTGAGCACTTTTTTTACCTCTGAGGTTGCTGCAACTATTCACATGAATTGCAATTGCTTTCTTTAAGAGAGGATGGGAGGTGTTCATAAACCAACAGCCCAGATGACTCATGGGATCATCAACAAGTTGAATGAGTTTTTTTTATGTTGAACGCTTATGTCTTTTTTTGTCCAATGAAATGTGTTATTGTGTTCTTGTTACTGACGTAAGCACGTTTGTTCCCATTCATACTTTTCATCAAGGGACTTATTTTATATTTAACTTTGATTCAACTACGGACAGTTACGACGTGATAAAGAGACAGCATTCATATTGCATTATGAACAAGTCGGTTTGGAGCAGATCAGGTGCCGATCTGGCTGTCGGGAGCAAGTAGGGTTCAAGGATGCGTGAACATGCAGACGTAAGATCCGTATCGCCCTTCTACTTATTCCAACCGCTGCACCTACTGAGCTTTCACACTATTCAGTTAATAGTAACTTTGGGTTCTTTTCATTTGACAATCGTGACCCTGCGCTTCCTGCTTGAATAATAGGACGGAGGAATTTAATAATTCGCAGACAATCACAGTTTTTATGATGTAATCTCGTGTGCCATGTAATGTGAAGGGTTAATTATGTGACACTTAAGCCCCCCTACTGATTGCTCCTGTATCATACTGATTACGGGTCCATAATGACATCAGGGCATCATGGAATGTGCTGAAAAAAATATCAACAAGATAGAAGATTAAATGCTTCCATAATGGAAATGACTAATTGGAAATGTGGTATGAGACAATCAGCTGTCAAGTTGTGTGCAGATGTACTGTCTGTCCGTCCTTCACAGACACAAGCTGGATCATCATGTGACTATACAGCATACACAAAATATTAGGATGTTCTTACTGTGAATTTACACATGTGGTGTACTTTATTTAATTTTTACGAAGCTTATGGAGGTTCAGTTCCTGTTCCACATGTAATTTTCCAAATATACAGTACGATAATCATCATGTTCCATCAGATCCGCTGACCGATCAATAACTCACAAACTCCTTCCAGACGGTTGCGGTTTCAAGCTTCTCCTCCTCTTCTTCTTGTTTCCTCCATTCTGTCTGTCTGACTTATTCAGAATCATGACTGAGCAAAACCCTTCTTGTTTCAAATGCAGATGATTATATTTCACAATGTGACCATCACAGTCCCAGATAACTTCACCCAGTGCACCACCCATGGCAGCTTTGTCCAGCACTGGCAGGAGACCCTCTACAACATGTTCACCTTTGTGTGCCTCTTCCTCCTGCCTTTGGTCATCATGATCTTCTGCTACACGCGGATTCTCATTGAGATATCAAGCCGCATGGCCCGCGGTAACTGTAAGTTTCACATTTTATTCCCAATATGCAGTCGAAATGTGCTTGCTGAACGAGTTGTGCGTGACAGAAAATGTTGTTTTCCTCTCTTCCAGTGCAGTCAAGAGATGTTCATCTCCGCCGCTCCCACAACAACATCCCGAAAGCTCGGATGAGGACCCTTAAGATGAGCATCGTTATCGTGACGTCGTTCATCGTGTGCTGGACACCTTACTACCTGCTAGGCCTGTGGTATTGGTTATTTCCCGAAATAATGGAGGAGACGGTCTCTCATTCACTCACACATATGCTGTTTATCTTTGGCCTATTCAACGCCTGTCTGGACCCCATCACTTATGGTCTTTTCACTGTTCGTCTTCACAAAGGTCTTGTGAGGTGCTGTCAGAAAGCAAACATACAACCTGAAGTAGAAAACAACACTTGTCTTGTACACATGACTCACCTTTCAACCCGGAAGCAGCTTACGTCAAGTGTCGACAACACAGACACAGAGGAGAGGAAAGAAAACAACAGCACAAAGAGTGTTTCAAGGCCGATCCTCCCAGTGAGCAAGATGGTTTAGAGAATTTCAAATGATCTGCTCTTAAAATGCATTAAAAAAGTTGAGTTGTTGTAGAAAAAAAACTTCTTGGAGTTTGAATCAATTTACTGAACATGCCTTTCAAATATTTGTTTGTGCACCACTCTGGAAAACATTGGATTTCAGAATACAAATTGTGATTCCCAGTTAGAAAGCCACATACACACACACACACACACACACACACACACTGGAGGGATTTTATGGATGTTTATATTCGTATTACAATCCTTTGCCAGTCTTTGCTTATCGACTGCAAAATTATCATTTGTAATTCTGTATGTGCAAGAGGAAAGGCTGTGATTTTGCTTAATAACAAACCTCCTCTGTTGACCGTGACAGCCTGTTAAGCAGATGTTGTGGTGTACAGTTCTATGTATTTAATGTGTCTTGTTGCGCATTATTTATTCACTGAATAATTAGTCCAAAAACAATAATGTAGTATATGTGTTTTTAGCTTGTAATATTGTAAATCAGGTTGCTTAACCAAGAAAGAAATTCTTGACATTTTGGTTTGAAACTTAAAAAAATGATTGTATTGTTATTGTAAAATAAACATTTAACTGTTCCGCTTGTTTCCGATATGCAAAAAAAAGATCAATAGCATTTGTCTGTTTGTATGACATTGTTTTACAGTTATTGACGAGGTGTTATGTACAGTATATTTGCAAAGTGATTATTCGTTGAATTAAAATGGCATTGGCTGATGATGAATATAATAATGGCTTCCCACGGAGCTCCTGTACATTTCAACAAGCTGGAAAATGCTTAATCAGAAAGATGCCAAACTCTATCTGCCAATAAAGATAATGTGACACACAGTATTAAAGCTATTAAAAGGACCTCGTAGTTTGTTAATGTCATTAATGCAACTTGAAATTCAGTTTTTAAACCTGAATTAAAAAATGTTTCTCCTTAAAGTGATGTTATCATGCTGAAATATATTTGCCACTGACAAAAACCTTCATTCTCACTTTACAGTAATAAGTAATACCCCCAAATTTGACATCAAACAGAAAGTGCTGCAGCTGACTGCAGAAAACGCCTTTCTTTCTTGAGAATGAGCAGTTGAGACCAGGCCAACGACGGAGCCCTTATGATAGTAGAATAATTGATAGTTCCAGCATCAGTCAATTTTGTCCTTTTTAAAAGCTATTTCATTAAAATGAATTGCCATACTGTAACAGGTTTCCCTTTCAAACCAATGTTTGGATTTTAATGGGGCCTTTTGTTGGAATCAACATCCCTTGCGACTATCAAAGGTTTTACTGTTCGTTGGAATTCACTCGCAGAAAAAGGTCTTTATTAATTAGTAGCATCACAACATTGTTTCAATCAAGTGGTGCTGTTGATAATTTGTTTAAAGACATAACCATGTCAAGACATATTGTGTTGTTTTTATCGTGCATTGTTAATTTACAGTGTGACTATATTGTGGAACACTGTAAATGCTTCTTCACACAGAACAGTTTCCAGCACATGGGTCTTATCTGAATAATGAAGTGCTTTTTGGTTGAAAATCGTAATTTCAATAGAACAGATGTGAACCACTCGTGCTTCATTACGCTCCGCAATCTGCGCTCAGCGCTGGGTGACTAAACTACAAAGAAAAGTATAGGATGGCGCACGTTCACCTAAATTTGTCTTATTTACCTGGATACAAAAAGTGCATCATACACAGTGAACCCCACAAATAGCTCATATAATCAACCAGCTCAAATGAAATATCTTTTATTCTCAGTTGTGAACCTGTGAAAAAAGACATGAATGAGGCATTCATGCTTTAGTGTAATTGATGTTTCACGGTAGAGCGAATTACGAGGTAATTTATCTTTGCAAGACCACCGTTGAGGGTTGTCTTATTACTCATTATTATTGACACTATTAAACCAAATGTTGGTGCTGACTGTTCTCAAGGGAGGCAGCCACACAGCCAGTCACAAGAAAAGTCCACAGCACAATTAAAAGCTCTGCGCAAGATGAACAGAGTCAAGCGTTTCTTTCTTTCCTCTTGCCTCATGCAGCCCGCCAAACATGTGTGATATTTAGTTCTCTCAGTTTTACTGCAAAAATAAAAAATACATATACATATATATGTATATATGTATATATATACATACATATATATATATATATATATATATATATATACGTATACATACATATATATGTATACATATATATATACATACATACATACACCAAAGTCCACTCATAGATGATAAATGTTTTAACTTGAGCATTTTTTCATTTTCCTCATTCATCTATCTGCCCTGTTGTTTGCAGAATTACCCTAATTATAACATACCTATCAGTATCACATTGACCTTTTGTCTCACAGGAGATATCTCAGACACCACTGGAATCGTTTTAACTAGATAATCAAGGGATGTTGATATTTTTAGATGTGACGGGTCAGCTCACACTGAACTTTATTCACTCACTTATCAATGTGTCACAGACCATATTATACATAGTAATGGAAGGATTTAGATTTGGAACTCTGGGAGGTAATTAATATCATGTCTGCATGGTTGTTGTAGTGGCATATGATGAGGAGGAAATACTTAAACTTACAATAAAGCAGTGAAATAAAACATAAAACCTACAAACATAGAAAAAGCAAGAGAGAAGCAAAGACACTACTGTCACAGCAGACAAAATGTTCCCCCCAAAACCACTGATGTAATTACTTATACAATATGTAAAATATTATTTTTATTTCTTTCCTTTCTTTTATTTACCACGAGAAGAAACGAGTCATTTAGGAACAATAAACCGTTCTACTCTGTTGTTTGTGTTCTTGCTTGCACAATAAATGAACAATGAACACTCATGATTGGGGAGGGTTGGAAAGGAACACGCCGGACTAAATACCAGGTTGCTGTGAGAGATAGTTTACAGCTGTAATATCAGCTCCAGAGAGAAAGAAAAATAATACTATATGTTAAAAACACAGACTTTTGTTGGTGTTTGAAACATTAAGTGAGACAGAGGGATACAAATATATTAATAAGGGAGACCAAGATGAAATAGTTAGTGATGATTGGGGGGATAGCTCATTTGGCAGCAAGGACGGATGACAATGACGCATAATATACTCCTATGTGACTCACAGGACCAATATGGATCCCCACCAACATCACAGCTAATGGCTTTACAATAAATACAAGCATTGTCCTTGTGCATGTACATACTGGAAATGGAATGTATCATGTTCTCTCTATTTACTCCTGTTCAAGAAGAACTGTGCCTCACCTGGAAAGTGGACGAGATCAGTGCGGCAGAAGCATCTTCTCGGTTCTCAAATGTTATGGTAGAAAATGTGGCTCAAACGTCCTGCAAAATGTCCCGCTGAAAGACTCTTCATACTCTTTAATAATGGTAGTGTTTTAGGTTCACTGGACGTCACATTGAGCGGGCTCAGTCAAGGGAAATCTTGATGGCAAAATGTGCCGAACTGTATATAAATGTTGAGGAATATCAGACCTGCACAAAGGACAATGAATGCACAATGAATGTCTCCTCAATCAAAGCACTGCAATGTCAATTCGAATAGTGAATGCAAGTAGAGACGCAATCAGCTTTCGTTATCAATGTGTACCTCCTGTTCTGAAGATGCATAAAAACACTTCAGCTCACAAGCTCTGAACTCTGTGTCACTTCCATATTCAGTCTGTCAGGTTTGTAGAAGCAGCAGTCCAATTTCTGGTGCAGAATTTGACAATCATATGTGTTTTCATGAATGTTTGTACTTTTGGTTTTCTCTTTGTATGCTCACCGTGTTGGATTGAGGACCAAATCATTCTCCATGTTTCTCCATTGCCCATTTTTTAAACCAGGCAAGGTATTGGGCCTTACAACTCCGGTCTGATCTCTAGTGATTAGCTGTGAAGCGATGATCGTACCCTCATCAGTCACGACACGTTTAAGGTCTTTTGTGATTCAGTGTTAATGTGAATGAGTCACTGATTAAATGATTAAATTGTAGCCCAGTTAACTCTTCAGTATCTTTGTAACACAAAGCAACGTGTCCATGGGGAGATATTATCTTCTGTCTCTGTTACTCTCCGCCGTTTTCTACCGAAATTCTCAAGGACCTTTGTTCTCAGTGTCTTAGTTTAGTTTGTGGTCTCCACATTCTTCTCCCAAAACTATGGAATTGTCTCTCGTCAGAGCTGCTTGCCTAAAGATTAATTTACAATCAACGCAATTGATGATAACCAGAAAGCCACGAAACACTTGATTGTCACTATGTTGGAGCCATTCCGGAGGCACAATAAACCCCAATGAATAAAACAAAAACTGTTGTTTCTTTTGAGGGTTTATTTGGCAAAGATCACAATCCCTCAAGGCTTATTTGAGACTGTTTCCATTGAGTCAGTAGCTGAAGCGAAGTTGGTCGGGAAGGCACACAATCTGAATATATTAGATAAATATGGTACGGTCTTTAAAACACTTGCTTCAGCGTGTTTGTTTTGTTACGTTCTGCCTGTGCCTGGCCATGCAACAGAGAGGGAAGACCACGCGGATGAGTTGATTGAAAGAAAATACCGTTTATTAAGGACAGCGAATGAGCAACGTAAAGTAAATAAAGTCAGTATAAGTGTTAGTCAGGAGAACTGAAAGCGAATGAAATCAGGGTATATGAAAAGTCATGTAAAAGGAAACAAAATCAGCAAAACGGTGCGGGAGAGAAGGAGAAGCGGCAGCCCTCCTTCCACCAGGTCTCTCCAGCTTTTAAACCCCTCAGGATACATAAAGCCATCCCAGGTGTTCCTGGAAGGAATCATAGGAAACCCGTCACACCTGTGCTCCGCTCACCTGTAGGGGAGATGCAAATAGACAAAACGAGGAGGAGGAGCCGGCAGGTCCGTAACAGTTTTGACAAATAGATTTTTCGTCTTTTCATCAACTATTATCACACAATATTATGTTTTTTTATTACATACTAGTATACCTTAGATTAATTATTTCCTGAATTTGAGCTATACTCTTCCTATGTGCAATCAATACCAAATACCACATCTTCTCTGGATTGTCAACCTATTTGTATTCATGAGTCAATCCTACTCACGCGTCCCTTAAACCAGTGAGGACGTCTGTGTTAACCTTGGTTCTGATAACGCTGTAATAAGTGAGTCGTGGCAACAAAGATATCCTCTTACTGAGGGTCAAACATTTTATACGAATGTTTTGCTCTGCCTGAAAATGTCTGCTTGTGCTATTTCTGAAAAAATAATGTCATAAAAACGTCTTTAATGCAGAATCAACAGGCAAATCAATCGTTTGTGAATAAGTAAAGAAAAAAGAAGCAGTGATGAGAAATATATCTTTTAAGTAGATTTAATATACAATGCGCAGTTTGTACTAGAATTGAAGTGTTCCATGTTTGTATTCATTTACAGCTTATCTCATCTTAACATTTTTCCTTTTCATGAGAAGATATTGTTGAGTAAAAATGATAAAAAGATAATTGAACACCATCCAATCGATAACATCATCATTTAAGTTAGCTGTTGACATTATTATGTTGTTTGCAAAAATGAAAGGCAGCATTTATTGAGTGGAAATTGTCACGACAAACCATTGTCGTTCCTCTTTTTTGATTGCCTCTTCGCTTTAGGACACATAATGACAAACAGGTTTATCCCAGTAATTGATGAGTGTGATGACATAAAGATTGACACATAATGAGTTGCTATGTGTACGACAGAACAAAATAAAGACTTGAGGTTTAGGGAAATATTGTGAATATTAATAGAAGACACAAAAGCCACTGGTCTTTGCAATGTTTTGGAAGCTTACGTGTTTGATATATAAAAAGACACAATCGTTTATGTTTAAAGATAACATGTGAGCCTCTGCTTACAGAAGATACATCTCAAAGAACGACCTTATGACTGCTCCTGAGGGCAGAACTCAAATGCGAAGAGAGGCATTTTTTGTTAATCATTCATTCTACCTCATTCAGGACCTCATCATTTAAACAAGCGCAAACAAGCATGAACTGAAGTCGATTCCTCTCAGACATCTGTGCGTTTACTGACGTTTCTTTCTGAACGTATAGAGTCTTTTGTGGCATTTCAGTCTGGATGGACAAGTCGGATGAAGAAAAGATGAATGTGTATTATGAGCAGATGACATGCTATGATAAAATCATGTCAGGTTCTTTGGCGCTCGTACTCTGCAGGGCGATTTTGGTGCCCAGCGGCAAGACAAAATCACCCGGGAAGTCCAGAGACTGGGGATGGTGGAAGCTGACGAGTTGATGAAAGGGCCTGAGCATACAAGATGCCTCAGTATGGAGGTGAAGTGATTAACAAACGGCCTCGCACAGCTTCCATTGAGGACGTCAATGTGATTATTCATCAAGAGATATCTGCAGCTGTGGCTTCAGCTTATTGAAAAACAAATGCGCGGGATATGTGTTGTCACACTCTTCATCACTTCAGCGTGCACGTAAAGAGTGTTGGGGGAAAATCGATCCCATGCACACTGCGAGTCTCTCAGGAACTCTGTGACGTGTTTTTACAGCGGGAACCCACGTGTTCCTGATCGATCCAGTTGTTCCTTCTGTGTGTCTACTGTCACACAGATGTGTGGTTGATGTGTGCATTCTTTTAACATGTGTTATCCTGCTCAATTTCCTGTGTGATAGTGTATTAAAGCTTTACACTAAGACGCTTTGTCAGACCTTCCTGCTCCTCTAAGGGAAAAGGAACCTTCTGTCCCTCTTCAGCTGAGTTGAGTCATGAACTCCTGTCTGTGGCTCATGTTTTACGATTTGTGTATTCTTCATGATTTTTCTGTATGTGAGTTTGTAATAAACACTTGAACGAGCTTACGATACTTTTGATTACTCACAAGGACATTATCCACTCGTTTCCACCACAATGAGGAACACTGTCACTGACATCTCTGTCTGTCTCTCTGTCTGTCTGTCTGTCTTTTCTTAACCATTATATCTGTTTGCTCTCACCTTCACAGAATTATTTCCTTGGAATCCACTTTATGTTGGTTGTCTGGGCTTCATCCTTCTCAAATTTCTTAACTCCTACTCGTCCCCCCCTTAGGTACTTGAAAACAAGCTCTTAGTCCTTCCACGGTTGAGACGGCAGCTTGTGGGAAATCGAGTGTTTGATGTCGAACCTCCTTGCTATGGAGGACGCTCCCACGCCACATCAGATCTGCTCCCATCACTGACACGTTCTCACAACCTTTCCCCCCCATTGGCCCTTAAGTCTGCATTACACGCCAATACATACAGTGTGTGTGTGTGTGTGTGTGTGTGTCTCTATTTCTGGTTTAATGATTGTTTCACATCCGTCCACATCTATTCCTTCTTTTGCTATTGCACATTGAATAACTTCTGTTCAGATATACCCTAAACATTGAACTTGGAATTACATGTGGACATATGCTAATATCTTTGGGACGGTGTGTCCATGTAATACTGTCAAAACCAGCTGCTACATATCTAAATCTAAAGTATTTTAAAGATAGTTACCACACCACTGTTATTGTGAACTAAAGGAAAGGTGAGTTTCTTTATATAGAACATTTCAGCATCAAGACAATTCAACAGATAAAGAAAGGCATTATAAAAAGACATGCAAATACAAATACCCGGGTTGTGGTTGAAGACCAAAGTCAGACACAAACAGGGTCAAATAAAGGGTTGAAAGGGGATAATAGGTGGTGATGCTGTGTGTGTGTGTGTGTGTGTGTGTGTGTGTGTGTGTGTGTGTGTGTGTGTGTGTGTGTGTGTGTGTGTGTGTGTGTGTGTGTGTGTGTGTGTGTGAGTGAGTGAGTGAGTGAGGGCGACAGAAATGGATTGCGCTGTCAAGGTGGGAAGGCTTGAGGACCGGATGGTATAATTGAGGCACAGGAAGACAAGCCAAATGAAGATAGGAAACACACAAGTGAGCGGCCGCACACCAACAACTACCGCTGCAGTTGCAACAATGATTCGCCAACGAGGGGATGGGAAGCCAAGTTAGATGTATTGTTGAGAAGATGAGTTGTCAGAAGGCAGCTGGGTGGACTTGACAGGTGAGGTGAACGAGTGGTAATCAGGAGGAAGCTGGGGGGGACCAGGTGGTCCTGTCCTGGTTGTGACAGAAATTATAACATAAAAGGCAGCAGCAAAGAGAAAGATGTTGATTTAAATGATATGAAGGGTGGTTGATTTAATAGGTGATAGTGGAGTTTGTCAGAGAAATATTGTGAGGTCTGGATGGTTCATCAGAAGAAGGTTAGAAATGTGTTTTGGCCCTAAACCATTTAGTGATTTTTAAACCAACAGTAGTATTTTGAAAAACATTATTTGACAGTCAGGAAGCTGTAAAAACATGGCTATGAAAATGTTTGTTATCTGCATAATTTGAAATTAAGCAGAAGAGGAACCAACACGGAGCCTTGGTAAACTCTACATGTCATCGGATGTGTTATTAAGCTATAGACAATATGTAAGATTCAACCTTCAGTGACAGATAATTCACCATTATTCACCATTAAGTGCAATGCCTCATAGTGAACCTAGCTATTTTTCTACCAGCACCCGTCTTTTTTTTCTATACATATCAGAGTGGCATTTCTCCATGGAGGTATTTTTCTACAAGAGGCAGCCTTCATCTTATTGTTTGAAATAACAACAATAACATTCGCAATTTTAATTATATACAAGCTCATTGATTGACACCCGAGAGTTCAGGTGCGGAAGAGAAAAAGTGACCAGAGCAACAACACTCCCCACAAGCTTAGATATTTTCCCTTACTGAGAGAGGCCTTCTTCACATGCTGACTCTGTCTACAGTCATCAATAATACAAAACAGTTCTTCAGTTCCTGTGTCCTTGACAGGAATATTTTTTTCTTACGGATTAAGTATTTCATGTCTGATTCACTGTGCCTCCAAGAAAAATGTTTCTCAAGTTTGTCGGGACATTTTAAAATATATTTCTCATTTATTTTTCATAATCTCTCTACTTAATATCTACAAAGTCTCCTGAGAACCTGTTGCTAAATTAACTTGTCTTTTCAGTCCATATCAACACTCATCGTTCATTGAGTGTACTACTAAACCTTTGGACGTTGGAAAGAACTTAAATACAGTATGCATTACTTGCATCAATTTTGACTTGATGATGCCATCAAGTCAAAATTGAATAGAAACGGAAGTCATGAACGCCCCACTAAGCCTTCACAGAACCTTCACAGAACCGTTCACGTGTCCTCCCATCAGCCGGCTTATTAACATAACAAAAGCTCAAATCCCACGCGCTAATGTGGGACCAGATTGTATTTTTAGGATAACATCTTCCTTAAAGCGATCATTCTGTTTGTGACTACCACTGTATATTTGTATCCCGTCATTTGACTACTTGATGGGTAAATTTCAGATAATGACTCGTCATTCAAGTTATGCAAAATGTCTACCAGTAAAGAGCTATTAGCTATAACTGGTTGTTGATTTGCAATTTAAGTATCATCTTATACTCTTCGTTACTCCTATACTCGTCTTTACAGCAGTTATTGAAGGAGACATCTCTCTCCCCACAGAAATTCCTCGAGTACTGGCGAAAATAATCAAAATATTTATTTTCAGAATTTAAAGCCTCGATTTTGATTGGATTTTTTGTTGTGCAATGAAGGTCAGCTTGCACAAGAACAGCATGTTTGACATTCACCTCCAACCATGTCTGCCATGCCATGTTTGATTGAAAGGTTTCTTGACCCTACCATAATGAAAAAGGAGGGACACTGGAGACACCGCTGAAAATTACATTGTAAACATATGATCCAAACTGAATACGTACATCTGTGAGTCTACAGTTAACAGTAGCCTAAAATCATCCATTCAATGCATGGGAACTGTCACAAAATCTGTTCACACATCAATACTAACATTATATAGATCTCCCCCGGGACTCATCTGTGTTACATACCGTAATTTGTCTTTAGTATAAAAAGTACAAGGGCCATGTAAATTGGGGTGGAATTCAAACTCAAAAATCTGAATTTATCTTTACCGTCACTTTTTTTTTTTATTAAAAAGTATTGTACAATACAGAACACTGATGATTTGTCTGAAACTTTAGTTACATTGTAAAAAATAAACGAAGCGAGGCCATGCTATATATTATTCTGTATTCTAACATCTTAAATGATGACGTAAAATGAAAAAGTTGCAAAAAGAGCAAATTAGGCACTTTTACAGTTTATTGCATCTGACCAAATATCTGCTGCCACATCGCCCCCTGTCGTTTAAAACACCGACGTGCATGACTGCACATTTCTTTGGCCTGATTTTAAAATATTTCTTCTTACTTAAAAGGCTGCATTTTTTTTTCAAAAGTGCGATTACTATTCAGTAAAATGTCCACAGTAACCGACGGTAACGCGCCGGTCCGTGAGTAAAACCCGTTAGGCTTCTGGTCCGTTTGCAAAGCCGTCCGTAGTGAAACAAGGTCAGCGCCCTTCGGTTCCCCAAACATACTAGGAAATTATCTGAGTGTGAACGTGCAAAAAGTTCCACAATTCAGATGATCTGGGTGAGTTTCAATCAGCTAATTGAGGTAAACCACCATCACCGACATTAAAAGTGACAAAAGTGAACACAACTAACGTTAGCCGACATTAGCACGCTAGCAAAGCGATGTGCCTGCGGGTAAGGTCTCTGAACGAGGGTGCGACTATTAACTGACTAGAACAAGCTGTCCTTGTTGGATTCAACCATGGACGCGGTGGTACGATTCACGAACCAAAGCCAAGGAAAGGACCGAATATTCAGGCGAGTCTTTAACCTGCTCCTAAACTGTCCACCTCGTCTTGTGTTTACTTACAGGACCTTTGACACAAGTGGCCAGAGTGCAAACAGCATTTCATTGAACGTCAACTTTCTGCGTCTTCTTACACTCTTTTGTCTGTATTTCTTTGTTACAGGGCAGCTCAGTATGCATGTGCACTGTCTACATACATACTACGAAACCACTCGGAAAGGAAGGACCTTGTGGCGAAACTTAAAAGTCTGGAAAGCAGCATGAGCGCAGGACGTAAATGTGAGTTTGAGGTTACCTGTGGCTGTAAGGTGAGACGGAGGGTTCACCTGGTGCCTAAAGCACGTTCGGTTGGGGGGGGGGGATTTATTTCTAAATCAAGACCCCGAGGTGGTCTTATGAGGTCCCTAAAACAAAACCGTGGTTGGGTAACTTAAACCGTAATCATTTGTTTGACTTTCTCCAGCTTTTTGTCAAGCTCGGATGCATCTACTGTATTGATACATTCATCTGCTCCACAAAACGTTTCTAACTGTCACCTTTTTTCAAAAGAAATACAGTATTAGTTTCCTCACTCAAAAGCTAGTTCTAGCCGGGTGGTAAAGAAACTTCTTACTTAATCATTTCAAAATGTTTGACAATCACGTAATTCATTGCTCTGGGTGTCACGGAAATGAAGAACAGGTTAAAGTCTGATAACATGTTTCCAGGGAAATGTGCCAGAGCATAAGAAGCCATCAGAATGATGATTGTACTGTAAACCCTAAACTGCCTGCATGCTGTTTAAAAGAAGACACGTCTACAGCGAATTTGAGCCAGTGTAAAGTTGAAAACATGTATACATACGATTAATGTTTAATTTTTTGTAGCTACCACGATACCTTCATTCTCTATATGCAGCACATGAACAATCTCCTGGAAGACGTTCAGAAAAGTCTGCTCAGGGTCACATTTAATCAGCCTCTGTTAAAGTACAGTTGATTCAGTCCTCTTTTTGGCATCTATGTACGTCAGTCATGGTCTCCCACCACATACCACACACTGCAGTTTGTGGCTGTGTTGGAGTCTGTAGGATTTTCTCGTGCGAGCTGAGAGCGACACTGGTTGAGTGACAGTTACGGACTGTGGCTGTAACTGATTACACTTGAACTGGCCTTGACAGCGCAGAGATTGGTTTACTTTACAACCCTCACTGAAACCTTTTGAACTTTGACATTCTATGGTTGAATCTGTGTTGTTTTTCATTTTGTCCAGCCCCAAAATAGACCGTATTGTAATGGGGTATTTGACATTTTGATCCAGTTTTAAACTGAGGTTTTAGTTGAGTGTCTGTGATGAGTTTGAATGGCGGGTTAATTTTCTGAAGCAGGTGTCAACATTTGAAAACGGAGAGAGATAAGCGATAAAGCACGCTGCATTTCGTGTCACTTAGAAGTACAACAAATATCAAAGGTGACGCCGACTCCTCCAGTGAAGCCTCTACAGGTCTAGCATACAGCTCTATGTGTGGCGCCGACAAAAAACATCACCACAAGTCCCAAAAAATACATTTTCTGTTAAATAGTAACTTTAAAACATTTAAAACAACATAAAAACTTTAAATCACTTTTTTTTTGAAAGAATTCTAGGATTGATCTGATTTTATTTGAAGTACAGACTACATCTGTACAAGGTAAAGATATGTAGAAAGACAAAAGGGGGAGCGTGCTCTTTCTTTACCAAATAGTTTCTATTATTCATTTTATTGTGATTATTTATTTTCAGCAGCAAACACCCACATGCTGCAGCTATCTTTCAATCCCTAATTTATCAAATGATGGATCTCGAGTTTTGTTTGTCATAGAAGCAGCGTTCAAGTAATCCATTTTTCTTTCATGGCTCCCTGAAGATGTAATCTCAGTTTAGAAATGAATTTAAAACATAAACCAGCTCTTCCTACCTTTTCGTATCTTTAGCTATTACAGCTGACACTAGAACAATGGACAACAAGACAAGTTACACAGTGCAATGTTGAACTTACAATTTAAATAGAATGTTAGAATAGAATATGAAACACCATTAAAAAGTTGAATGACAAAGTGTGTAAACCTTTGACTGGTACTGTAGCATAACTGCTCTCCTTAGCAGACCGCCGCTGTGAAATGTTGACATCCCTCTTTCCTCCTCCTCCATCAGTGTTGAGGTTGGGGAACACCGTAAACTCCATTGCGGCCGCCAAGCGAAGCATGCGGCTGCCTGACAGAGCGCTGTGCCTGAGCCTCACCGCGGCCAACGCCAGCCGCGCCCTCTACTTTCTCCTCGACAATGTAGTTTGGGCCAGAAGCGTGGGTCTAATCCGCAATATCGACAAGGAACGCTGGAGCCTAAATTCCTCCCGCTGCTACTTCCTCTCGCTGGTCATGAGTCTGAGCAGAGATGTTTACGTGGTCCTCCAGCTAATGGCACAGAGGGCGAGAGATAAGCAGTTCAGACAGAAGATGGAGGCGCATCTCAGCGAGAGTTGTGAAGTGGCTGAAGCCGTCGTTCCTCAGCTGGATGCGTTTCTCTTTCTGCTGTTGGAGAGCCTGAAATCGCATCCCGCTGTTGCCTTGGACGTGCTGAAAAATGCATGTGACCTCTTCATTCCCCTGGACAGGTTGGGTATATATAAATCCAATCCGGGGGTGGTGGGATTCTGTGGTTTGATGTCCTCAGTTATTGGGATTGTAACACTCTTGGAGCCCAAGTTAACACTAAAACCATGACAACAAGGGTGCAATCACGCCATACTAACTGGAGACTCAAAGTTTAATAACGGGCTACCTAGCAGTATTGGTTATTCTTCATAATTTAGGAGTCTAAGCTAAACCCCTGTGCAATCCTGTCTTTTCCAACACCAGCACTTTAGTAACTACTATAGTAGCTTTTTTACACTTCTTTGCTCTGTGAGAAGAGGTTGCTCAAAGCTTCACCTCAGTGATTCAAGTGATGAACAAGCTGCTTCTCAGACAAAAGTTCTTCCAGAAGAAGAAAAAGTTGAGATTTCCAGGAATAGCAGTAGTCATTGTCGGAAAACTACACGTTACCAAGAACACAATGAATGGCTCTGTTGTATCAAAGTGTTCCTGCGAGTGACTGTGTGTCAGCCTGCAGCAATTCCCTGAAATCCAATCTGCACAAGTGCTTTTCCTACTGTGACCAGTTGAAATTGTGTGTATGTATGTCTCCCATTCATGCGTGGCCTGGACGTTGCATATGATGATCTAATTTAATGAGCTAAAACTCCCCTGATAATGTGATTACAAATACATTCTTAATATATTGCTGTATGTTATTTTTTTAAATCTGACACAAACCAAACAAGTGCGCCACAATTAATGAAAAACCTTCAACTTCTATGAAATTATTTGAAAATGTATTTTCTCATGTAGTAGTAATGTAACGGATCAATCCTTTGTTTGTTGAAAGGTTAAATAAATCTTTATCTGACATTGTAAAATGTGCTTTTTCAAATGTTTTATGTTTCAATGAAGTTATCAATGTATCTGTGGGGGAGAGGGGGAGACCGTTCAGTTCAACACTACCCTCTTGAGGCATCATGACACTGTTCAATTCAGAAGAGCTTTATTTTTCATTAAGACGGAGACGACAATACACCTGTTTTTCTGAAAGCTTTTCTCAAGAAGATGATCGATAAAACATCCATCAAAAATTGTAAAAATATATTCCATTTCCCTTTAACCGTACTTTGAGTTTTGTTGAAGAGAATGAACTATGAAAAGATGAATCCCATAACAAACGCTACAAAGCAATAAATACACTAATTTGTTCTCCTAGGTAGATCAATCGCAGGGGTTAATAATAGGCAACATATTTGATTTCACATTTCCATTAACTCCATTTTTCCAGTATCCAACAAAATTGACCAGTATTACATTTGTGGAAATAAGTTTCCTGGGCTGGAAAAAAATGCAAAAAATCCTGGTCGCAAACAAAATCCTAGTCATTCTTCCAGATGCACTTGTATCCAAATAGCTTACATTAAATGCAGTTTAATTTGTGTCCCAGAAAACCTCACATTTCTGAAATGCATTAAAATGTAAGTGTGAATACACTGTACATCCTAAAGGCATCTTGTATCAATCCAATTAAAAAAACAAAACGAACAAAGCACTTTAAAAATTGGCACCAGTGTGAAACTACAGATGTGTAAATACTGCTGGCCAATGTTGATTTCTTTCCACAATACCAATGATAGTTACGTGCGGCTCTTTGAATGAAAAAGGCACCATCAGTAGTTCGCTCCGTCAACAGTAAAAAACGGCATCACAATTAGCTCGAGGGGCGAGTCTAGTTCCCCGAAGCATTATATTAACATGAATGGTAGCATCATCTTCATACTGATTAGACTGATATTTTGCCTTCCCAACAGCATCAAAACGCCGTTTCAGTATCTTTCCGTTTTGAATGACTTTATTCATCAGAGCAGGCCGTGTGCTCTTTTCTTTTTTTAAATAATTCCAACCATGGATTTCCAGTTCTAGTACCGAACACTGTTCTTTCTATTCATTACGACCGATCAGACCGTTTCCTCCAGCTGGGTGGAGCTGTGTGGCACATTCGCCGAGCTTATCAAACTGCATATTAACAAAAGATTTGTAAAATAGTGCGACCTGTCGTCCTGAGAAAAGATTCACAGGCAAAACGTGTCTAGTCGTACTGGAGGTTTAAGAATCCAGCATTTTTAGCTTTGATGATATTTAAAGGCCAAAATCTGTGCTAATATTTGAAATAGTCAGTGCTAATAAATATGTCTTTCCTTAAATTGTTCCTATGTGCCAAGACTCAGCAATTGTTGCTAGTCTCAAATCCTTCAAACAAACCAGAAATAACCAATCGAATGTAAAATAAAAAAAGTACATTTACGTCTTGCAAAAAAGCGGCCAAATATTTGACAATAATCCCAGTATTATCTTTCAAGAGTATTTTCTTTGAAGAGCACATTATTGTGCAATGATTTCTTCCGATACTGGTGCTTGACAGGATTAAACATTAAATCATATTCCTCACCAGTTCATGATTATCTGACAGAAGTAGAAAATGATCAACAAACAACAAACAATAGACCAAACAACAACTAGCCAGTAACAACTATCCAGTAACTGAAATTCCTTCAAACTTAAGAGACATTTACAGACAAGGTCTGAGAAATGTTGGAAATGTCTGACATACATGTTAAGGCAAATATTAGCTTCATTCGCTCATTTCAAGCAATCATTACGACAACTGTTGTGAGTGCAGCTACATTGATGCAAACGTCAGAGAGAGAACAGAGAACACTGCAATTTGATCTCTATTTCCTACTTAAGGCTACAGCTAATTATAAGGAGAAATAAAAGTACAGCTTTGGGGGTTCTTCCGGTGCACCTTCCTCGGGACAAATGTTTCATAGAGCCTGTAGTCGCTAAGCGTGAATGATGCATGATTACGTACAGACCTGCAACCAGTTAACAACACTTGACGGAGTTGATAAAGAAAAGGCAGTTTGTGATAGGCTACATGTGGGTGAATTTAACACTGGATGTGCACATCACCATCTTGAAACCAGCATTCATGTACTGGGAGGAGTGGTTTTGTGGCATTCCAACATTCCTTAGAAATTACATAGGACGTTGACAGAAAGCTAGATGCTGAAATTCCTTACGGTCGAAGCCCACATGACTTTGTATATATTGCTTTAAACTTAATTTTGGGATCTCTTCGTGCCTTTTTTTAAATAGATTTTTTTCATGGCCAATAACATTGTGTAAGCATTTGGTCTGGAGGGAAATACCATTCACTTACTGTTACAAATGGACAATTAAGTGATTGGAGGATTGGTTTTGACTTTTGGTCAGCAAACAGCAAATGAACAGATTCCTCTGCTTGTTAAATATAAAGACTTAGAAGTAACATTAGTTTCCACCTAAGATTGATTGTACCATCAATTTAATACTCTTTTTTTTTTTTTATAAATCAACACATTTCTTGCTAGTTCTGATAACATAAAGGATCAAATAAAGATGCAACCGAGCAGGAAGGATCACATCTGCTGTGCCTTTCAGAAAAATAGATTTGGCTTTCACTTTTACAGCAGAAGAAAATCCAGCAATGATCGTAGTTGAAAACCATAACGTTAAAGGGCAACTTTTAATCACGAGTCGGTGGTCGCAAACCACTTATGAAGGAGAACCTCGGTCCTCGATCCCATTCACACTCAGAGAAGTAAAGTGAACAGTGTCTCAGCGACCGCAGGACCAAGCTGGGAAGTCTTTGGGTCCATTAGGAGTCTTTTGGGTCCAGTCTTGTTACCCCTGCGGGGGGCAGAAGCCGGTTACTAGCAGAGTCCCTGTGCTTGGTCGTAATCTGTGATCAGGCCTTTGATATGCGACAGTTTCTGATGCAGGTACTCGCAACGCTTCTTCTCTTCCCGATAACCAGGAAACCTCTGAAAAGATAAAAAAGCAAGTGAGCTTTTGGTAACGCGTGTCAGCGCCCTAGATGTTTGTAATAACATCAGAAATCTCTCTTTACTTTATATTTGGGAGATTCAGGGGGTTACTTATGTGTTTTTGTGGCATAATTGTTATATAAGGCTCAATTTTCTCATCAATTCGTAGGAGATCTCACTCATAACAGAATGATAATGATAACAGAATGATAATGTCAGTATGTGAACATAATATTGATGATGCTTATTTGACAACTCTTACTTTCTTATACTTGCGGTACTTTTGTAGTATTTGGACCTCCATAAGCTGAAAAGATAACCAAAAAAAAAAACGTAGCGTTAGGTTTGCCGTGTATGTGATCAGTTCATCGTTTGGTATTCGATCGGGAACGCAGCAGTCCGAGACTCCCGGTCCAGACAGTACCTTGTACTCTTGTGTTCCCGGAGAGAGGGTGTTGATCTTTGAGCCCAACTGAACAAACATCTCCGTGATGGCCCCGATCCGATCATGGAGAGCTCTGTATTCATCATACTCTGCGCAGAAGTCGTCTTTGTACTCTTGCCGCTGCTCCAGTGCTTTTATGGCGCTGTATTTTCTGAAGAAACGAAACAAAAAACAAACATGAGAAGTTTTTTGTCATTTCTGCCAGTAGATGGCACTGCAGAAGGGGCCAAGGGCCTGACACGTCACTGATTAAAAGCCCACGATGTGTTGACCAGATGTAAGAATGTAAGACATAAGGTCAAAGCTTTGTGACAGCTCGTTCAGACATGTGCTTTACTTGACTCTATTCACGCAAATGTTAGCTGATCAAAACCCCTTTGGGACAAGTTGGTTTCTCCTCTCAACAACAGTGGGTTAGACTTCCAAATCCTAAACCGCTCAGTGACAGATAAACAACTTATGAGGACTCATTGACAATCATTTTTATTTAACTCTTGAATCGTGAATCCCTTCTGGATTTGTATGAAACGCAGGGCAGAGATTGTGTTTGCGCCTTACATTAAATAGTCGGGAAGTTCCTCTGCCGAGGTCCGATTGACAGGTGTTTTCTCTCGTTCGTGGTCTGTTAATAGAAAAAGAAACCACGCAGACATTGAAGGAAAAGCGGTTTGGGAAATCTGCCAATGCAAATGCGATGATGTAGCCATCATATCAAGGCCGACGGAATCATTTATCACTCTCTGATAAGAGATCAGATCCAAGGCGAGCGCTGACGTCTGCAGCCGCGGAGTGGGAGGCGACGCCGCCTGCTGACTCGCTCGAGCGTAGGTCACCCAGCTGTTTGCCGGTCAATCATCAACAGACTGGAGCAGAGACTGCAGAGCCGACAAGAGGCACTCGCTGCGTTTTGAAATGTAAATCAATGGGTCTCCAGCTGCAACCATGACTTTTTTTTTTGTTTGCTTAAGTAAAGAATAACGAGAAACAGACCCATGGCAGCCGAATACAAAACATGCAGTGTGACAAAACCTTTACACACACAGCTTAATGGTTTCAAGGTCATTCACCTTTAAGATTTTCTCGGTTCTGCTTCAGGTCCGGGCTTTTCTCAATCCAGTCCGGTTTTAGGCGCTCCCGTTCTTTGTCCTTGTGCTTTTTGGACCTCTTCTTCTTATGTTGGCCGTTGGTGGGTTGTTGATCGGTGCAGATGGACGCGTCAGTGTGTGGGGGCTCGGGGCTGGTTGCAGTGGGAACTGGCTCTGCCCTCTCCAGTTTGGGAACGGTAGATGACCCGCCGAGTTTGTGCGGCGAGTACAGACCGTTTGGACTCCCCTGGAGATGATTGCTGGTTTTGTCGAACTCCAGTTTGATCTGTGCTCTGGAGTTTCCGTGGGTCGAGGAACTACGAGCGCCGATGGTGGCGTACTCGGCATGAGACGGCGAACACAGAGGCAAACACTGGTCTAATAGTCTTTGTTTTTTGGGGGTGTGACAGTTGGATGAATCTGAGGGCAACGGACGTTTCTACATCGGAAAAAGGAGAACACAGTAACGGATTAGATCTGCTCCTGAGAACCTGTATTGTGTACATGAAGAGATTTTAAAGCAAGTTGGGTGAGAAGATTGACTCAGTATAGACTGAGCCCCGTCAAGAAACAATGTGTCATATTGCACGTTGAGCTGGTTTTCACTTCGCATGAGACACATGACAGTGGTATCGATCCTCTCACGCTCACAATAAGCAATTTCCCCACATTATCTCGTCATTTACTATGATAACTTCACAAAAATATTGCAGTTTGTCAGTATCTGCAAAAGAGGAAGAGATCTTTTTTCAGTCACATAAGTAAGAGAAAGTAGAAGAATATAATTCACTCAAGGTGAATAATTACCACGGAGAGACTCTTGGCAGGACTGAGATGTGAAGGAGAGTCTTTGGGGAGTGAATGGTTGGACTGGGGACTCTTCAACTGGCAGTTGTTGAGTGGCTGAAGTTTCCTGTAGAGACAAGACAAACACGGCACCTTTAGCTGGACAGTGACTGAGGCCAGTGAAGCTAAAGGTCAAAGGGCAGCATGTAGGTTACAGATTCACGAGTAGATGACCATCCATCATGTATTATGACATGGCTTGCCAGAGAGAAGACAGCAGGGGGCAGCTTCTCCACAGTTTGACATCAAAGACATAAAATAAATGATCTTTTAAATTGTATGAAAAGGTTTTTGGAAGGTTAGCCTGTATAGTTTTGTCTCCGATGATAAACTCTACAGGAGGTAAGCGCCAATACCAAACACATCCAACGAGCAGAACAATAGCAGCAGATTTAACCTCTGTAGGACCAAACCCTCCTCCCTGGTAATCTGCTTCCTACAGCTCCTTCCTCAAACAGACGCTGCTACAAGTCACACCCCAAAATGGATTCATGCGACCTTAATCATCGCCAGTGAAAGAGGACTTGGAAACAATTAGACATTACTCTCAGTGAAATGAAACACGTGAGAACGTCTGAAGAATCTACTGCAACAAATCAATAAACTACAGCAAATAAATCTGGAGTTTATTCTATTTACAGGGTGGCACAGTTCTATCACACTTGGAAAACAATTTAGAGACTACAATTGTAAGCTTTTTTTTAGCTTAGCAGTGGTGGAGAAAAGAGGGGGTTGTGCAATCAGCCAAAAGGATTTGAGCTTTTTCCAAAACGCTCATGAAGCACATGGCCTGCTGATGTTCACTGGCAGGCAGAGGAAATGTACAAGGGGATGAAAATTACCCTGAAAAGCTCTGCCTTGCTGCTCTGAACCTTCCATTCTAATGCCATTTGGCAATTTGGCTCAGGAAATATTTCCCTCTGCTTTGATGTGTCCATTAAGTGATTCATCAGGGCAGAGAAGGAGCGATTTAGAAGCTCCCCCTTTCAACATGATCAATGCAGACCTCAACATTAATTAAGCAGCCTTTCTGTATTAACGCCAGCACTTTCAAAATGCATCCATTGTTTAGTGCCTTGCCCGAATGGTTCTCTAAAGAAATGAAACTTCCAGTAGTGATTTCAACAAAGTCGGATGAAAAGATGCACAGCTCTCAGCATCTCTAAACATCCGTGTGAGTATGGATTACACAAAGCAGAAATAATGTGTTAATTCGTTGGCCATAGAGGTGCTGAAAGGTCTTAAACACACACTGTAAGCCGTGCTATATTTTTGGCGTAGCCAGGAAACTCAACCGTCTCATCTAGCTGGATCAACTTCCAAGAACGTTGAACTATTTGTTAAAAAAAGTAATTCCAACTCTCTCCGTGAAGCAAAGCGGTGCATCGCGGCCAACCGAAAACCCACCTGAGCAGCAGCCTGTGGATGAGTTGCTTCTCCTCCTCCAGATATCCAGGCCATTCTCTCTGGACGTTTCTGTAGAGCTCATCCTTGAGGGAGTAGCTTTGGTCTTTAGGGTTTAGTTTACCCACCTGAAAAACAAACAGTTCCCTATCTTAATACACAAAAAGAGAACACACCTCAACCTATTAACCTGTGATAACCTCCACCTTACCTTTAAATAACCAAGTGGGCCTGTATTGTTCGGCGGTAAACACTTAAACCCCACCTTTCTTATTCCTTATTGATACAAATCAAGACCAACCCACCACTTTCAATTCTGAAATTAGAGCCCAGCTGGAGTCACCCTACCCCTCACTATCAAAACACAATCTTTTCCTTCAAAGAGAATTAAAGCCAAGTCCTAATTACTGATACCAGGGGTGGCACAGTTTGCACTTGATGACTGCAGCGAGACACTCAGATATTTTAAACACAGGAAATATGCCTGAAATAGGCCTCACCTTTTAATAGCTGCACAGCGGTGGTCTGGTCATTAGTAGAATTAGCAATTTAGGGACTGACTTACGTTGGTAGTTACAATCCTTCACCTAATATCAACGTATACTAAAAGCCCTCCATATTTCGGTACCTCAGTATATTTCCCCAAGTATCGAATGAGTTGTCGTGGCGATGTGGCTGATGTCTCACCTCATCCAGTAGAGAGGTGAGGTCAGCCTTGTCCTTTGGACTGGATCGCTCCCTCTCCAACCACAGTAGCAGCTCAGGTTTCCTGTAGGGCTTTAAGGCCAAGAGATGAATGATGCGATCTCTCAAGGGCCGGTGTGCCACAGGGCTGGGAACCAGGTTCCTTTTATTGCTTGGGGAGTGCTTGTTGTTGCTCTCTGAGCCTGATACCAGACCCTGCTTCCTCTGGACCTTCACGCACTTACCTAAGACCAAAACAAAGAGACACATGGCAGAGTTTCAGCAGTTGATTTTTGGAAGACACCAGCAAGGTTTTGAATCAAAAAAGTTGTCAGTGCAATAACTTAAAGCAGTTTTGAATGGCCGTACTGTTGCCACAATAGCAGAAAACTAGAGAAGACCGAAAGAGATCAAAACTAATCTGACAACAGGATTCAAACAGGTTCACAGTATCCTGTAACAACATAGCAAACATATCATTCCTAATCCAGTCATCAAGCCAGTAATACAAATCACACCCAGCTCTTAAAAGAGACGCCTGCACACAATGTTGTATCGCCCTGCTGTCATGCCATCTCCTTTACGGACAAGCAACACTTTCATCCCCATTTGAAAACGCTTAAGGAAAATACCTCGAGCACTTCTGTGAAGTGTTGTTGCGAGTGGAGAACAGTGAAAAGGGGTCAACCGTAGAGTTGGCCGACTGCAGAGTAAACAGAAAGAGTGCGGAAACTGGAGCAACTAACACAGAGGCCCTTTCTTCCCTTTTGCAGCACTAATGCAGTTGGACCTGTCCAGGCGGTGCTTATAGACATCTACAGATCGTAATCTCGTTACAACCTTAAGCCATACTTTGGAGGTTGATATAGGTCAAGTAGTGTAAAACAGTGCGTTCACGGGAGAGCATGGTAGGTCTCACACAAGGTGTTTTAAACATTGCACTAGAATGTATTTTTAGCAATGGTCAGTGTTCCTTGTAAAATTCAAACAAAGTCACTTTAAATATACAGTACTTTGCAAAAGTCTTGCAGGAGTTTGTTTATACATCTACCTTGAACCGGGTCATGGCATGCAGCTATCCCTGCTGCACTGAAATAACCCGTACTGTCACATTTCAAATAAGCTGCAACTTCAACTGGTGTAGATCGTTAGAAGCAGCTTGGGAAGTCTTCCCCTCTCAATGAAATTCTTTTCCCTCTTGAGACTGAACTTTAAATCATACATTCTTATATAGTTTGTGGAAATTCTTCTACTCTCAAACCTGTAATTGTGACTTAGTGTATGGATTTTTCCCCCCTTATGAGTATAGCATTACTGCACCATAAAAAGACACTCAGTCACCACATAACAACTGTCTACTGTCTACGGCTTAAGAAACTGGGATCACGACCCGTCTGTTTCTCTCTCTGGCGTCCAAGAGAACAGAAATGACACGTTCAAGTAAAATGGGAGGCCTGCAACTGCATATTTTTAACCGGGTCTTTTCTTACAGCTGCATTAAGTGCATGTATTTGCCAGATTAAGATTATTTTGCAAGAGCCTCAGAGGCAGCAAAAGAGTGGTTTAATAATAATAATAATAATAGGACCCGGCTCCAGCAGCAATTAGTAGCATTGGTCTTCACAACATGTTATCATGCATAAAATATGATCCACACAAGCATTTGAATCCGCACCGGACATCTAAATGTCATGAAGCATCAGATCATTTTTAATGTTTCAGCATGGTCACTTTAATTGAAAATAAATATAAAGACCAAGGTTCAGAGAAGATGACAGCAGTGCAAAATCTCAATCTAAAGCCAAATAGTTCCAGGTTAAACATGGTCTCTTTAGATATTCTGAAGTAGTTCATCAACTAAAAATCAATCAAATTCCAGTCAGTGTAATTAAATGTTAGGGAAAACTTCCTCAGCATGAGACTTGTTAGCGCATACTTCTGGCAAACTCAATCACATTAATGGTGCTAGCAGGCAAGCTGGCACAGCGCCTGAGCAATCTGGTCAAAATGAAAGGAAAATTACAAGACAGAGAGACGTCCCTCTCGCATGAATAATTGCAACGCAGCGCTTTGATCAATTATGTGATAACTTCCACACCATATGGCAATTATCAACAGGATAAAATGTGGAGGAGCAATGCTTTAGAAGCTTTCTGGGAACATGGGAACTCTCCGGTTATCTTTCCTTGATCCCTACACGCTTGAAGGCTGATACGTAGACACGGAGGCCAGAAGACGCACCACAACGTAGATACGGCTGTTAAGCAAAGGCTTACTTGGTCCCGGCTTTATCTCGATTGCCGAGCGGCTCCAAATGTCCTTCTCCACCTGAGACATGCGCTCCCGGGTCGCCTGGTAGGAGTCGTCGGTGGCACAGACTGTGATCTTATCCTGAATGCTGCCCTGGCCCTCCAGGTGATCCCTGCCCTCCCTGTGGGTAGGAGAAAGGAGAAGATAGAAAGGCTCAGAGAGCTGGCTCAGCTCAATTAAACGGGCCAGCTGCCAAACACAAGCAGCGGAGATTCTTGCTGTCATACAAAACAGTCAAATGGTTTGTGATAAACACAACCGGTTATGTGACTTGCGCCTGGCTTGTAAAGTCCAGTCCCGTGCTATAAATCCTCTAGAAAGGCTCACATCTGTCCTTTGATCCTTCGACACTGCAGCCACGGTCACCACCTCTCTGTTCTCAATTATTACTGGTCAAACCTCTGCGGTCAGTTGCAACATGGCGCCTTTTGGCGTTATTGTGGTCTTGTTTGAATACAGCCGGACAGTCTCACTGTCTATTGTTGCACTGAAGAGAGAAGCCACTGTCTGGTGAGGCCCTGCGGCTGTATAGTCCGACACCAACTTTACTACAGAATCACATTTATGGTGGACTGTGGGAAGAGTTACGGGTGCAGCTTACCCAGAGACGTACTGGTGAACGCAGTCGAAGCTGGACTGAGGTTTGTCTTTGCTGTCGCTGGAAAGGTAGAATGAGAAGACTCTGAATTCGTCAGGAGACTCTGGTGTCGGCGCCGGGATCTTAACGTACTGTCGGGAGAAATACAGACAGAACATTTTCTTTAGGACCAGTGAAGTATCTTTCAATAAAAAGTCAAAAAGTCGGAATATCGGTTTACAAGGTTGCCTGTTGTGGTCATTTTTTCCTTCAAAGCTTTAGTGTTTTCCAGCACAGTATTTTACATACGATTTATTCCTTACAGACCTACTTTAGAAAAATGGCAATTCATTGTTGAACATCTTAACTCCACTGAAATGACTTCATTTTTAAATGATCTACGTTGTCCAATATACTTTTCATAAATCACAACCATGTTTTATTATGTTAGACACATCATGAATACTTAATAAACAAGACTAAATACTGTCAATACATTTAGGCAAAGTTTCCTTTCATCAGTGAAAAAAAAGAATGAATTATAGTCTTATAAATTCTGCAAATTGATTTAGCAAATTGAATCAAATCTCCTGCGACCCACCAGCCTTCAGCGATGACTGACCTCACATGCGTCAGAGTACAGTATCCACTCACACTGCTAATTTGAGTGGTGTGTTGTGTAATGTTTTATTTTTCCCAGATGTAACCGGATCGGATTCAATGTAATCTCAAAGTGGGGGAAAGCACATCAACAAAGCAGCTGCTTTTATTGAAACTGATTAGAGCCCCGACTCACTGTCTTTTGTTTTGGTTTGTTTTGTTTTTTCACCACAGAAAAATGTGACCTAAATAATCTTCCGCTTGGGCCAATCGCAGCGTCTACATTGTACCTCCCAGGTCAGCGATGATGACCTGTAGCCAGTGGTGGGGGGAGCCCGTCTGAAAGGCAAAACATAACAATGGTATAGCAGACAGCTTTTCCACTGAGACGTTAACCTCCTCTGTCACAGACTGTCCACCGCTCCCTAGCAACAAACAAGCCAGCTGGGTGAAGTCTATCCCCGTCAAGGACCTCTTACATAAAATGACCCAAAAACCTATTTCCACCAAAAAGACAGTTCAACATAGAAAGTCATTAACCAACAAGTAATTTGTCCCTTAAAACTCATTTAGCAGGGGCTCTTTTCAACGATGCCTGCAGCTGTGTTCCATTCTGAAAAAAAAAGATACAGCTTAGTACTTTTGCTGATAGTGTTCTGTCCCAGATACAAGAGGAACCCCGTGATGGTCATCCGTTCTGTACAAGCGTGAATACATGGCCCCTTAATGTGAGGTGGCTGCAATAGCCCCCACCACGCAGGACCTTCTCCAACCGCAGGTCTCAAAGAACAAGTCAGATGGACTTGAAGCTGCCGCTTTAGTCATCAGTCATAAGTGATTGATTATAAACTGACTTGCTGAGAGCACAGTGTCCCCGGCAGATGTGGCAGGCAGGACTATAGCTGTCACTAATGCCCGGTCATGCAGCAAAGCCATAAGCAGTTTTTTTTTTTTTTTTTTGCAGCACGTAGGCCAACAAACAGCCCCTCGCCTCGGCACCCCTCCTCCTCTCCTCTACAAACCCAAATGCATGCCATTCACCCCACCCCCATCAGCCTCCAGCTTTCCTTCATGCGCACAAGCCCACCCGTGTCAACACAAAAACGCAAAGAAGCCCACAAGACCATGAACACTTGAGACACACAGCTGACCATTAATTCTGACCTATTTATGTCCGACCGTTCTCGCAAAGTGGTAAAGCAGAGTCCCCGCGTACACGTCTGCTTTGGGTTTTTACGCTAATTAAGTACGATCAACCCCAAAAATAAGCATCAAAGTGAGCGGGGACGGGCCGTGTCTTCAGGACCCATTACTCAAAGCAAAGTAGTAGGAACTTTAACCACAATTTCGAAGCAACAAGCCATTCACGTTATTGACGCAGAACTGCAGCTGATTTTGATTTTAAAATGAGATCCTGCGAAAACAAAAGCTACAGCCCAAGATGAGATGGGAGCAAACGTGTAAACATTTAGCATCAAAATAGTGCCACCACCTCCCCTTTCAGTCGATGGCAGCAGTATGAACCCCCTCCAGTCATGCATTAGTTTTGCCCCCCCCGTCCATGCCACCGCGCACACTTCACATTCTAATTCTAATCGATGTCACTCAGGTCAGACTGTTCAGAGGTCGACCCCGTTTTATTCACAGCTTCCGTCCCGAGCTTCATAACCATATGTCATTTAACCCATTAGTTTCCAGTTTCTGACTCCGATAGGAGAGCCTGTCAGTCCAACGTCAGGTTCACAGACAAAAACAAATCGCTCATTCGCTTTCTGTTGAGTTTGTTTAGAGGATTGGTACTCTCATTACATGTCTTTACGGTAAATATAATTCTAATTAGCTTCATTTGGCACAAAGACTGGAAACAAGGAAATGGATAGCTATCTAGTTTATTACTGTACAGAAACATAAGTGTCTCAAATGATTACCTGTCTTAATGTAAACATCCCAGTAAAAATGTTAAACCAATCACAGAAAAGTTTGACTCGACATTGGACACTAAACAATTGTGTAATAGTAGCGAGAGAATGATAATTAAGTCATCTAATGGAGTCAGCACTGCCAGTTATATAGCAAGTTTTCTGGCACATGCTAATCGGTCTCCACAATACCTACATTTAAACTAAATTCCATATATTCTGGTATGGGTGTTGGCCAATAACAAAAGAGGCTTGTTTGTGTAGAAAGGCCAAAAATTATGTTTTAGGTGATGAAGAAAGTGTCTCTTTTAAACATTATAGAAATATTGATATCAGCAATTCAGCATCAGTCAGGCTGCTGGTCAAACCAGCCCAAAGTATAAACACCAGAGGGTATTACATTTAGCCACGGTGCGTTTTACTGCTTACTTGGTCCCGGCTTTATCTCAGTGTTGAAGTTTTAATATGCGAGCGGAAGACAGCATTTTTTTCTTTCTAAAGCTTCATTCGTTTTGCTTTAGTGGTCTGAACCCAAAGTGTTTTATTATCTTATGTCATTTTTAGACTTTCTCCATCTGTAGTAGTGCATTTTAAATCGTTATATAAGGGTGTGTTCATCATGGGTGGAGACACCTTGACTTGATAATCATTACTTCAGGAAACATAATGATCATGATCACATTACCTGGTCAGTCAACGACGACCAGAGGAAACAACTTTGCTGTAGTCTCTAAACGACACAAGGTTGTGACCCAGAATACAGTTACCATCATAGCCAAACCATGCAAATTGGCCTGTGTTATCATCACGCCACTTAGCCTGATAACGGAGTTTTTATGTGTTTCAGTGACACCACTTGTGCCCACAGGTTTGGGATCCTGACGCTGCTGTCAGTCAAGTAGTCGGTGTAGATTTACATAGAGACGCCGAGTCATAGTCACACCTCAATCGGGATCAGATGATGGATCCTCAGGGGATCCATCATCTGATCCCCTGAGGCCGCGAGTCAAACTTTGTGAAATCCCCCATCTACAATTATAAATAAAACAAGCTAATAAACAAACAGAAATAAAAGCAAAAACACTGAAATTGCAATCCAAAGTTTAAATATTAGTCACAATAAGTATGGTCAGTTAAAGGACTGGTGGGTTGTGTAAACACATCCATCCAACACACAAATAACTCAAGCTGCATGTATTTCTATAAGTAAGTGCATTTGAAGTGTTATGCTTACGTGCTTATTTAAAGCCAAATCAATATATTTATTCAATGGCACATAAGTAGAGTACAAATTATACAGTTAATAATGTCTTAATGTGATAAAGCAGAGTCCAAAAACAGTCACTTTTACTAAGTTGTATTCCTTTAAATGTCTTTTAAATAATTACATGAGTATAGTTGTTTTAGACATTTTCATTAATATAAAAAAAATGTCGACTCTAGTTTTGAATTATTATAGAAATAATGATAAAATCTGGGTTATTTGTCTAGCTCTGATCCAGTGAAATAATTCATTAAATTGCTTATGCTCCATTTTATAATTAAGACAGTGTGAATCCTATATTCTTACAATTAATGAATATGAGAAAAGCTTAATGAGGTATTATTGTCATTAGAGAATGAAAGGTATAACAGAGACCCATGCGCCGCAACGCCGCCTGTTCCCACGTTTGTGCGTGAAGTTTAGCCATGGGACAGTTACAGTAAAAGCGACCTAATGGCATCAGAAACGACAATCCTTAACACTTCCTCAGTGTGGCCCCCCCGCGGGGAGGCAGGGCCCGTACAATAACTGCCTCTGTGGCCTCAGCACAGCCACATCTGCTGCTCCGGGGCCCCGTGTGTTGGGAGACGTCAAATACTTCCAGGCTGTTGTAAGGTGTGAACTGGACTGGAACAGAAAGCCTTGGCAGGGGGGGTCAGCAGTTCAACGAGGACAAAGGACACCATCGGTGACGTCCGCGTAGAAGTTTAACCTGCTCGTCTTTTGATGAGGGTTAAAACAAAGGCTGTGTGGTGCGGAAGGAAAGCGCTTCACTTAAAAAGAGATCTACTGTTCGCTCCAGCCCAAACATCTGCAGGGGAACACGAGAGGACGGAATATCTTCATTAGCTCTCCGGACGGAAGCGCGAGGTTCTCCAGCTTTCGGTATTTGGCCGTGGCGACGCTCAGATGGGAGCAGGCGCCTGGGTATGTGATTTACTCCGAAGCCTTTGCCCCCCCCTGCCCCTGTCTGTACTGACACTAGTTACCATTGTCTTCTCATCGGAGTCTACTCAGCCGTAGCTGCTCTCTGAGCTGCCCGTCTTTTGTTCTAGCTTCTTCCCCCACAAAGCTGAGTGCAGCGGCCTGCCGGGCCGCCTGGATTATTCATGAACAGCGGGGACGTGTGGCTGTGTGTGTTGTTGGAGGGTAACAGGAGGGATTGGGGGGGGGGGGTTGAGTTTTAATGGAGGAAGGGAGGGGGAGGGGGGGGGTGGCGGTGACTCCCAGCAGAACCAATGCATGAGGGACGGCCCTGAAAAGTCCTTTCCTTTAGGAATGTGATGAGCAACTCAACGGAGAAGAGGGGGATGGATCCCGGCGTCAGCAAGTGTTTCGCTTTATTTACATTGAATGCTGGTGCAAAGTTGCGATCAAACATCACATGACGGACTCCATAATGAAAACAACCATCAGCCACGTTACAGTGTCAGACAAGTCAGTGCCGTGTCTCAGAAAAAACAGGGGGGGGGTCACATTATTTATGCCAATTCACTGTCCCCAATCTATCTACAGTGTGATCAACAACTCCCCCGTGACTCCTTTGTTTAAAACAAACAGAACGAGTGACGACCCCACTTCCCGTCTGCATCGAGCTTCCAAGTGAGCCTTTGGTTGGATGTGCTTCCTGTGCTTGAGGATCTATTTATTGAGGGGGGTTGGTAGAGACAGGAAAGCAAAGGGGTGGAGAGGAGGAGGGGGGTGGGGGGGGTTTGCGTGGGGATGGGCAACTGACGAGCATCCCCCAAGGTACCGCCTGTTATGCCAAGCAGAATCAGTCTTTTTCCAAGAGGCTGGGGCTAATCTGTCAACCTTAACAAACACACACCGTCTCCCCTCCCCCCGATGGCCCATCCCTCCTAACGGTAGGTGCCTTCCTCTTTAGGGATGGAGGTTTTTTTTTTTTAAATGTTAGGCCACTGTTTGCTGTATTTGCAATATAAATAAAAGCCTGATCCTAAGCTTGCCTAATTGTCATTAGATGATGGCGGTTAGGAAATATTCCCATTACACGCTAGTTAATAGACCTCGGATACGCTGATGCTCGTAATGTTATTGTGTTTCCCTTCATGATAACTTGCCTGTTTTGCAGCAGAAATCCCACAAACCACCTGCAGCACTGCGCTAAACTCCCGTTACTGGACTTTTCTCTTCACGCAAGGCAATCTGTAACACTTCTACAGTTTGCAGATTGTGTCTTGGAATGTATGTCCAAACCTGATCAACGTGCAGGGAAACACATCCAAACATTCATAGGATGTGTGATGTGTAAAATGAGGAGGCAAAAAGCTGGCTCAAATAGTGCCCTCATTGTGCTCAAATGCCAGTAAGATACAGGTGTAAGAAAAGACAGACAATCCATGTGTCAGGGGGTTGGCTTTGAGGTTAAAAGTGTCCCCGTCCCTTGGGAAAAATTTAGAAATACAGAATAAACAAAGAAATCATTGTCAGGAATCAGGAATCAGGAAATTGTGCTCAATCATTGTGCGAAATCATTGTATGAGGTGCGAAATCATTGTATGAGGTCTTACCTCGAAGAGGTTAGTTTGAACTTCTTCTTTGAACTTATTTAGATGTCAAAATGGGGCCTATAGTTCCCTTGAAAGATGTATACAATTTTGTGAATAGTATAAAGCTACCGAGGAAACTGACTGCAGCTAAATGCTTTACCGCACTCTGCCACACAGTCCGTCTCCACATCAACAAGATATTTTTAGTAAATGAGAATCAAACTGCCATCCATTCCACAAAGCATAATTAGCATTATATTTAGTCATTCCTCAGATTTTGACCCTGATGCAAATACCCAAATAGCCTCTGGGGTGAATGAGCACAGTTGCATTTCCTCGTGAAACAGCGTCTCGTTTCCTTTTTCCCGTCACTGGCTCGCAATTTATGTCAATGGTAATATTCGAGGGTTTGTTCAAATGGGATCTTTCAAGCCTTTCCTGGCTGAGTTGACTAACAAGCCCATTACCTGATGACCAATCCAACCAAAAGCAGTTGCTATTTTGATTTTTTTCTCAATGCCTTTTCCGGTTTCCCCAGCTGACGGTTCCCTCTTTCGTCTTAATGTTTCCGGATTAGCACGGAATGTAAACAAGCAACACAAAGCCACAACAACAACACACAACTGCGTGTTTTTTTTCCTTTTGCAGTTAGTGTTTTTCATCACACATTTATTTGTGCCATTTATTTCCAATCTTAAACTATAAAATACTCCACTCAAACCTTCCACCATCACATTGGCATCCTCTGAAAAGCAGAAGAGCACAATAATGACAGAGGGGCTAAGTAAAGAAAATTCCTCTTCAACTAAAGGATCTCATGAGGTTTGCTCCTAAAATACACTGTACAATCTGAAAAGCCAAATCGCTCTGCATAAACAAACTCTGCCTCAGACGAGCAGAGAACACAGAGACTTTTGCCTCGCTTAACACATCTGGATGAATAGAGCGGCGTGTGCCCTTTCAGAAACACGTGGGACAACTCTCCCTCTCACTGCTATGCCACTGGGAGAAGACGGCTCTCGAACCACATTCCTGTTATTGTTATTCTAATTAGCTTCCAGGAAAGAGAAAAATGAGAAGAAAAAAAAGGTGTGTGCATGCATGCACGCACCCACACATATACACACACACACGCACATTGCAAAAGCTTATTTGCAGAGCGAGCGGGAGGCGAAGCAAAGCGGCGAGGTGGCGGGGGGTAGAGTCGGAGCAGCCGTGTGTGAGATAGAGGCCCTGAAGTCTCGCAAGGATTCAGCCAAGACATGGGGTGAAATGGCAAAATAATCAAGAAGGCCGACGGGAGGCGGCCCAGGGGAAGCTCAGCCTTCACACACACACACACACACGGTCACCATGAGAATATCTTTAAGAGCACCTCTACTCTTCCCCTCGTCCCGACACCTTCACGCGACAGCTGCGCGCATTAATACGGACAGGGCCATAAAACAAAAACAATTGCGCTGGCAACTGCAGTTCAACATTTATGGACTGAGGAGGAAATTAAACGGCTTTCACACCTGACACAGCACAGCAAAATGTAATATTCATGTTTACCCCAACAGCATTGCTCCTATAAAATGTCTTGTCGTCCATTGTCGTACTGTCTGCTGTTACGCACCAACCGCCAAGTCAAATGCCTTGTATGTCTGACATATTATGGCAATAAATGTTTCCTGAAAAGTTATGTTCAGTGGCACGGAGGAATAGTGAGTAACTCAAAGGCACAACTTTGCAGTGTAACAGGTAAGATGCTCACTAGCCCATGCAGATGTTTGAATATAAAACTATGGCATTGGATAGAACATCTGTATGTGATACATAACTAAAATCAACGTGATTTCTTAGTGTTGCAAGTACTAAGAGAAAATTAGCACTACGAGGGGAAATTCTTTGACACACTTTTAATAATATATATTTCACTTCGCCAATCGCTAGTTATTGATCACCCCTATTCGGTTGACTTTCCTGCAATAGGTTTCAGTTTTGAATCTCTTTATGCCTGTAAAAAATTCAAAAGCAGAATTTCTTAGATTGTAGTTTTTAAACTTGACTTGCACATGCTTTAGAAGCTTCTGTGAGCTTGTGTCTTTCATCATACGATAACCAGCTCGGCGGAGAATTTACAACAGTCGGGGCTAAATATCACAGGGTCGGAGTGAAAGGCAGCCGAAAAAAAGCCTCCGCGTGCTCTTTCTCGATAGGAGCCCTGGCCCCTGATACCGCTGAGCCCTGGAGAGGTGCCAGTACAGTGATCTCAAAAATTCCTTCGTTTTTGTTTTTTCTTGCAGCCCTGAAAGTGTCCCGCTGACAGGAAATGTGTCGTGAGCGAGGACAAAGATCAGAGAGGGGCAGTCGTGGCTTCTGTGATGGAGCTCTATGGCTGGCGACTGATACGAACCCCTCCCCGCCGGCACGCGTGACCTCCCGACGCCCGTGCTTGCTTGCCTGCTTTTGGGGGAGAAAAACTAGCCACGTCGACTGGCTGCATCTGTGGCGCCGTACGCCTCCAAAATGGAGACACACACACACACAAACTGGTTATCTCCTCGTTCCGTTTTGTGCCAGACTGCCATGTTCACCAACAACCTCCCCCCACTAACGGCTTAATCCGGCCTCCCCCACTACCGATGGTTGCAGCTACCTCATTAATGCCCAATCGTCCAGCTCGGGGACCATTGTCAGAGGGGGAGGGAGCTTGTGCTCGAATTCCGCAAAGCAATTTGAATATGTAATGTGCCAAACGTGATATAATCACCAAATCCTATTCAGTGATTAAAGAACACTTAAAATTGCACTCACTTAACATTTCTTCACAGGAAACCTCTCATAAGCAGGTTAATCTGCTGCTCGTTTTACAGATGTTTCATTACACGCTTACATTATTTGTGTTTTGGACACATTTAGCCTTCCTGCCAAGCAAAAAAAAAAATTCCACCGCTCATGTATCATTCCCGTATTTCAAATCTTTCATGTCTGCATAGAGATGTGGGGGCTCCCTGGGGTTCGCCAACTCCCTTATACCTCCTCCCCCTTTCCTGAACAAAGCCTCCCCAGTTGCAGGCCTGACCCAGTAACCTGGCTGGCAGCCTGGGGGTAAAGCGTACCCTGTCTTCGGGCTTCCAGGGTCCCGTGTGAGCGCACAGGGCCGGCGTTTGTGTACAGTGCAATGTCACTTTCGTCGACGCAATCGGCTCTTGCGGGGATTAGGACGGCTCTTTTTAGACGGGCATGTTTTGTGGTAAATGCGGAGCCGCCCAGCAGGCAGAGTCAGGGTGTAATAGTGGCCCGGACAACCTGGCCGGACGCAGGCATCCCTCTTCTTGACGGACACTCTGCAGGAATGCCCTCAGGGTTTCAGTGCCATGTATTTTTGTGTACTTTGTGCACTTTGTCTCTGTATGTCCAGGCTATTTAACACAACAATGTACAGCTGTGACACCTTTCCTTCAGGTGCGTCATGATGTGGATGTTTCATATTCTTTTAAGGAAGAAAACCGTTAAAAGGCAACAATATCAAACCAAATAAATCACAGTTTGTGGATTTTCAACTTCCTCGTTGATGCTTTCATGCGCTTATCAAATGCTCAAGAAAGCAATGAGATGTGCGAAGGAACTGTCACAAGTACGCTCCACAGCAAATCAGAACCAATTAGAGCGTTCACATTCTCAGGCATTAAGGAGAATATGCAAAACATCTTACCCCCTGGCTCCCCTTGAAGCAAATCGCTGGCTGATTTGATAGTGATGCCTGAAGAGAGAGAGAGAGAGAAAGTAGAGAATGGTAACGGATTCAGGAATCATGTCTAGTCTAATGGACAGCTCACACATTAGGAGTAAAAATATATTGCCATTGTTCTATAGCTCCGCTCAGTGGGTCTCTCAATAGGATGGATAAAGTCTTGCCAAAACGTTGCCATAATCGCCGGCTCGTATCAGGTTTCGCCCTGATGAATCGCTGTATTATTATTTTTTTAATATCATTTAGTCTATAGTTGTGGGCTTTCTGGCCATAATATTCAGAGGAATGTGTGCGACTAATAATTTCATAGCCTATACAGACCACTTAGGTTGTGTCAGTCAATGCATGTTTGTGGGTTTCAGCTGATTTTCCCTCTAAAAGAACAAGTCAATAAAAGCTAAAAACAATCCAATTGGAAAGCAAAGGGCCCTGAATAAATGCATTTATTAGAATGCACTTTTTACAAGCCCTGTGCTGTGGTTTACAACTGTAGTGCCACCAAGAACACAGTGTTACGCATCAGAAAACCACATTGTTCTTCTACCTAACTGATAAATAAATATTGATATCATAAAATATAGCATGCCTTCAGGGCAACATGATGCATAGTTAATAGATGGAGACATTTATCTGTGAAGTACAGCTGTGCACGTGATAGACAGCGCTCCTGATTTATTATTAATTGTTTGGGGAAATGTCTTCCCCATCGAAGAAAACTGTTCGGATTTTCTTCATCGTTCCATGGTTTGAATATTGAATGGAGTAATATATATTAGCAACACACTCATGGGGTTTATCACAAGTAAGAAGCCTGCTTTTTATGTCAACCAAAAATATTCCAACAATTTTGGAATATTTTTGAGTGATGTGGAGCTGAAAAAATATGACAATTAATTGTTACCATTTTTTATTAAAGGCCCTTTTATAAGGGTTGTGTAACAGATTTATAGATATCAGTTATAGATGATGTATTAGTAATGTGCATTAATAGAATGTAGAATTAAAAGAATGTCAATTTGGGGGTTTTCAGGTTGTACCCTTTATACATCTTATTCATATCTGACAAGACTTATTAAGGAGTAATACGTGTTAAAATTCTTTAACAGTATGGAATTTTAATGCTGTTGACTAAAATTGAAACATGGGATATTTTACAACCTGGTAACCCAAAGGTTGTGCAGAATGCCAACCCTTTCAATAACTGTAAGACTGTCTCATTAGATAGTAGTAGAGGTTAAGAAATCACAGGATTAATAGAAAATTAATCAACTGCTTGATAATCTCTTGATTATTAAAGTCATTTTTTAGCAAAGGGTAGAAGTTTTACTGGTTCTGACTTGTAATATTAAAGCCAATCAATCTATTTGACTTTTATGAAGGTAGGACTCTCGCTTTTTTCTGTAATTTCATTGACCAACAATTCCCCCCATAACCTGAGAAATATAGTGCATCGTTCGTTGCAACCTTACTTTGCTTTAAAGGCTCTTTCATTTAAAGTATAAAATCCTTTTTAGGAATAAATTCCATCTAATAAAGAAACGTATTTCAGCCCGAGAGGTTCCTGAGGACAAAGTCTCAGTGGGGGGTCCGGCAGGCCACAACAATATTTTGTGCGGTGGTCTTTCACTTGGGAAAAAGTTTTGCAGCAGCCCCTCTCGTGCCTGGAGGAAGCTGTCAGGCTGCGCGAGCCCCGGAGTTCACTCCGCCTCGCGGACCAATGAGCTGCGGAGAGGGGCGGGCTCCCAGGGCGTGTAAAGGACAAACAACAATAATACACAAGAGCACAGCGACAACTTGTCGAGCTTTGCCACCGAGCCCGATGTGGACTTTACCGTCTCATATCCAGGTCCTTTCTGCCCCGTGGCAACACTTATTATAAATGCAAATAAAAACTAGAAGAAACAAAACACATATGGATCTCTAGCTGCAGTCATGATGTGGGGCTTAAGTGATTTATCGAACCTCTGGGAAGGACAATTTGGAGAAACCAACCTTGAATTATCTTGATCTAACGTAATGAATCGTCGCAGTGACAAAACTGTCTGATTAAAAGCGTGACAGCTTTTTCATTGATTGATTCACGTGAGCAAAACAAGCTGATTATTAAAAAAAAAGAAAATGACTGACGATCATCTGTAGTCGCCCGTGCTCTAAAACAATGCATTTCAGATGCAATGTATGTGTGGAAAAGCAGATGAAAACAACAAGCTGCTAAAGCTCAGGGCAATACTTGTTAATCTCTCATATGGGAACTTTCATTCCGTTTGTTTTTTCGGGAGATTACGCTTGGAAAAACAAGTAGACACGCATAATTGAAAATAGCCTGAGCCTCTCCTTTTCCGCCCAAAACACATTTTATCCAGGTCTTACAGAGCGGGCGGGTTAACAAAGTCATTCATTAAAGCATAATGGATTTTTTTTATATATACGTTCATAAATAATACAGCTTCTCTATCCGCTGTATAAACCCCCCAATCCTCAATCAACCACCAACGCTTCTGTCGACGTGATCTGCCCTATTTAAACTTTACTCTTTTTTTTTTTAAATCAAAAAGGGAAGATAAAAAAGCTTTTTTCTTTCCAAATCGGGATTTTACACTTCACTGAGTTGTGAGGCGATTCAAGAAAATGAAAATACAGCTGAAAAAAAAAGAAGAAAAAAACCCACACAAGCTCCAAAGTTCAACACGATAACGTGTTCCTACCTTGAGGTTCTGGTAGGCTTCCAGGGTCCGGATGGCAGTGTCCGTGAGCTTGACGTGAAAAAGAGTTTGATTCGGGTTGTTTTTGTTGATCTGGCCACAGGAGAGCCCATAGCGATGCTCCTGCCTCAACGCTGCCATTGCTACAACTGAGGACTTATTGGCGACATAGTGCCTGCTACGTCACGGAGGAGCGAGGCTGTGGGCGGGGCCGGCGCGCGCGTAACACACGTACACGCACGCACGCACGCACACGCACGTAGCGTGTGGAAACCAAACTATTTTACTTTCGTTTCACAACACACACAAACACACACACACACTGGGTTTTCGCCTCGTGCCCTCAAGGTTTCCAGCCTGTAGGTTGTTTATCGCGTCGTTTATCCAAGATGCAATCCGACCGGTTTAAAGGCGCCACAGTGTTTCTGCGTGACACACCGGCGAGGAAGCGCTAACGCACCCGAGTGAGAGGTCTATGCCCACATAGGTATGTTTGTTTGGGGAGAGTGACTTTGTAAAACTAACTTTACTCATTACTGAAATAAAAAGTGGAATGTAGCGTTCCAATGAATACAACCAACAATATAAAAGTGCCATCTTACATGTAGCAAATTATGGGTTGGCAATATTTACAAGAACACTTTTCAGTATTAAAAAAGCTTATTGTATTATCTAAATATATGTATATTAATTAATTAAAACATATTAATATGTCTTTCTTCAAACAGCAGTCCACAATCTAAAGATATGCAAACTAAAAGACAGCAAAAAAAGAGAATAAGTCAAAAACAGTTCAATGAAAGTTCCCAAATATGGAATTTGGATTAACTTAATCTCTGATTGACACCATGCTTTGGCTGTAGATTAAAGCGTAGCCCCACAGGAAAGTTGTTTTCATTTACCATATGGCTGCGTAGAAGTTTTCTGTCTAAATGAATCTTCTCTTGCAGTGCCACAACTTATTTTTGTCATTTCCCCTTCTTAGTTGAGTACTTAATACTTAAAACGTATCTGTATTAGAAAAATGTATAATATAGTTTCTGGTTACAGCTGACAAAAGCAAATAATTTAACCTCCATGGGTTAAAAACAAAGACATGTTTTCAGTTTTTAAGCATAGTTGTGAAATGTCCAAATGAACTATACAACATGAGATGGTTATCTGCTTTAAACCTTAAAAAGGTTTTAATCTGTATTCTACTGTAAATTTGACAGCCTGCGGGTAATTAGTATTGTATCATTCACTTAAAAGCAAAAACAAAAATCTCTCAAAGCAAATTGCATTACATTTCATATCTTTATTGGTCAACTGCGTTCATGGGAGCTGTGTTGTGGGGCACGCCGGTGAAGTCATTAAGAAGCTTACAGACGTTCTGGCAGATTAGGTTTTTCTCTTCTAATCCTGCAGATTACCAATGCACAAGCCTGCCGACTGGGACTGCGTTGTTTTTTTGCGCTGCAGTTTCTTAACATTGGTCATTTTTGGTCGCTGCCGCATCACTGGACTATTGTATGTAGCCCGGGACCGGCACAGGCGGTAGCAGGAGGAGGCCAAGAAGAAACAGAACAACCGAAATCACAAAGCCTCCGGCGGGAAAAGCTTTTTCTAAAAGCTGTACACGAAGGCAGGATTTAGGGATGTCTTCTGAGTTGGATTTAATATAACACAACATGGGTTTGAACCTCAGGGAGATCTTCTCTTTGGTTTGAGACGCTGAAGGTGGCAGAAGTTGGTTTCCCGACCGAACTACTACCAACCTGCGGCACCCGAGTGGAACATTGGCTCCGACTAGCAGAATTATCTCTTTTGGAGGCTAATGCAGGTGGCGTCCATCGCTCTCGGCAGTGAAATGGAAACCGAGCCGTGTAGTGGAGAGCGCGAGGATCCTGCAGTGGAGCGTACCGTGTCTGAGGTTTACCAGCTCGCTGGTGGGGACAGTCCCGCCGAGCCGCCCTGCGGGCCTGCAGAGGACAGCAAGGAGCCGGCTGAAACGGAGAGCTGTGCAGGTGAGAGTGAGAACGCAGAGGCGAAAGCCCCCGCTGGTCCCGAGAAAAGTGGAGACACGGGATGCAAGCAGCAGAGGAAACTGAAAAAAACAAACAGCTGGAAGATGGTGAGATTTCAAGAACCATCAACAGAGGATGATGTCCTGGAGAGAGACAGCTCGGCGGAGAGTCTCTTCCCAGAGTGTGTGACTGCTGAGTGGACTTCCTCCTCCTTTGAAGACCTGTTTGCGGCAGACGATTGGCAAGACATCACAGGTGAGGAGGCATCATCCTGTAGAGACACACCTTAGACTCAGTTACAGTGGATAATCTGGTTTGTAACTAGTGCTTCACCTTTAATTAAAGCTAAACGTTATATTTTAGTTTGCACTAAAGAAATAAAATGACCTAAAATGGCAACGAATTCAAGCATGGCGAATTTCTGAGCATGTGTTTACCACCAACATGCAGATTAACTCCGCTTCCTCCAGCATGACCTTCTCTTCTCCCCTCACACAGAGGATCGTCTGTTGAGGAAGAAGGTAGTGGAGTTCGGGGCCCCGGACACGCTCAGCCCCACCTGGGGCCAAGCGGTTACCGTGAAGATGCAGTGTGTCCTGGAGGACCGCACCGTGGTGGAGAAGGACTGTAAGCTCGCCCTTGTTATCGGAGAGGGAGATGTTAACCAGGTAAACCTCTCAGTTTTCTCGCAGGGTATTTTAGTGGGTCGCATGTAGGTTGTCTTCAACGGTGCTTTGAGCCAAATACCACATATCAGCACCGTGCGTTGATAAGGCTGATGGCAAGCAGGTCCAATGTTTACCATGTTAATTTAGCATGCTAGCATTTACTAACTGGTACAAAACATGAAGTACAGCTAAGGCTGTTGGGACTGTTGTCAGTTTTGTCATGGTGGTGCTAGCTAAGGAGTCAGAGGATCAACCAAAATCAATTAGTTTCATCGTGTGGGAACCACGTATCATTATGTTACTTACCAGTTGTTGAAGTATTTCAGTCTTAATAAACTGACCTACGCTGTCGCCCCTGGAGATCGCGGTTATGAGCTGGTCCACATGCATGAAACGATTAAATAATTGCATAAAACAGAGTTATGCTTCAACGTATTTAGTGCAAGTGTGTTAAAAGTCATTCCCCTAAGTAGCATGTTGTGCTTTGACACCTGTAGGCCCTGGAGGAGTGTGTCATGTCCATGCAAAAGGGTGAGATCACATTACTCCTGGCGGATTCTTTGTATGCCTATGGACTACTGGGACGGTAAGGATCCTCTGGTTAATACTCTTTAGTAGTCAAGTATTGAATTAAGGAGTATGTTGAAGCAGAAACAAGTCAGTTCTATTGTGTTTTTTATTCCAGTTGGCTTCTTGTACCTGTTGCTGTGGGGGCAGCTTGGTAGTCCGGGGGTAGCGGGGTTAATGAACCATAAACAGGAGCAGATGGCTTCCTCCAAACACCATTCACAGGCAGCCTATGAATGGCGTGCTTGTAACCTCACAACCTATGGGAGGACACTACTTATATAACGGCCAATGGCTCAGGTTTATAACCCTTTAGGCCATTAAAGAGCCTGTATAAACGCAGAGGAGATTGGTGTGTAACTGAAGAAAACCCATTGTTTATAGTTTTAATGGTTACTTTAGATAAGCGTAACATGTGAGAAGGAGACTTTAATGTACAACAGTGATTTGATTTGATTCTGTACGCTGACATCAAAGGATTGAAGAAAGCAAATGTGTTAAATTAGATTTAATTGGTTCGCTGGTTTATAATGTTGGGGCAAATTACTTGTGTGTGGTTATGGCTGTTAAAAGACTCTTTTGTAAACAGCTGAAATTTTGCCACTTCTGAAAGCAATTATGTCAACTTGCACAAGTCCACCCTCACCAGATTAAATCTAAAAGTGTGTGCTCTCGTTAGTGCACTGCACAAACCGTTGTGAATATAAAGCTCCAGGGCCAAAAATAAATAAATAAAGAATCTGCTTCGAGGACTTTTCCGAGGACATTTGCAGAGCAGTTATATGAAATTGTTCATTCAGCTGCATGTAGGACATGCTGTACTATTAACAGAGTAGCCGTACTGAGGAGTAGTGCATGAAAACAAACATGCACTCACATTTGTCATGTGGCCGTAAAAGCCTTGAAAGGGTGCAGGATTCAGCGCCAAATTAATACTTTGGTCCCATTTTTTTCACTGAAAGTAAAACACATTCCATCTGAACATTGTTGACTGAATGAATTGTGCAAATGTGCTGGAAATTGTGTTACAAAAGCATTTTTTCAGTGTCTGTGCTGTGTGTGAGGTCCTGCTTGTAATGGGATGACGTGGGGTGACGTGGGGTGAGAGAGAGAGAGAGAGAGAGAGAGAGGAGTCTCTAGGTGTTGTCTAGACTCTCGCCCTCTGTTGTCTGTTAGCGAAGGAGGCAGAGAAAAAGAAGGAGGCAACGGGAGGTTAGTTAATGATTGTTTTGAAGCAGCTGATTAGGGTTGTGTGCCGTGGAGTCAAATTCAGCCGTGCCAGAAGGTAGACAGTCAGAGCTTCAACTCCTCAAACGTCACTCATTATTTTTAACTGCAAAACTATTTTTCCGCTTTGACCAATGGCCGTGTCAAAAAGTTAGTCCGGCTCATAATTCCCAATAAAAAAAGCTTTGCACCTTGATTTAAAAATATATACTCAATAGCGGGGACCCTAGCAGAATTTGTACCTTTTTAAGAAAGTCATTCTGGGTCTTTCCACCCGTCTCCACTGAGACCTGAGACCGTTATCAATCATTTCACTCATGGACAGAAAGTGAATGAGTGTTTTTCACATAACGTCCCCGAGCTTCTACCTTCTCAATCATGGCATGTGGACAGACGTGCTTGTTGAAGTTAATATAAAACATATTTAGTAAAACAATCATTTGAGCAATTGAGCTCAGAAAAATAAGTAACTAAAGCATGAAAATACATCATGTTTCAGGGTAAATTAGACGGCCACGGCACGTCTGTGCTATAAAACCACACACGATGTGGTAAATGTGTTTTCTTGCAGAGGCATTGATTGAACTCTGTCAGTCGCCTGCAAACAGTAGTACTTCATAGGTATTTATCAGTACAGTGTGCAAAGCTGTCCGTGTTGTAGACCAGTATCTCCTTGAAAATGTGAATACAAAAACAATGAAACCCCCTTAAAGGTCTGAGAGCTTTTACCTGATTGATCACAACGGACAAGCTAGTCGGTCCTCAATCCACAGTGAGAATCTCTAACGTGTTTTCCTGCGAGATTGAAGCCTTTCAAAGTAAAGAGGAACCATAACGAATGTCACACAAACTGCCTCCGCTCAGCGAGATGTACGGAGATCAGTGGTGGCCGACGTCTGTTGGTCCAACATGAACCCCCTCTGAAGCCTCCATGTCTGTGAGCTCCGCACAAACCCCAAAGTCAACAACATTAAGAGTCCATGGCAGGGGCTTTATTTGGGGGAATAATTTGTTTTTAGCCATATGGGAAACGCCACGAAACAACTTTAAAGAGTAGGAGCGGCGTGCTGTGAGGTTGCCTTTGGCCGGCTGTCAACAAACGGCGGCTTAAATCTCGCTGCTGGAAGCAAAGGTGTTGGTGTGCTTTAAATCTTGGCACGGATGAGAATTAGCCCAGTGGCACATTGTTGAACTGGAGTTAATTAGACCACTGGGATGTGTCATAGTTGAATTAACAGTTTAATCCGAGTCCAGATGTACAGTGTCAATGACTTAAGCCTTCTACTGTTGCATTGGGGCTCAAAAACACTTTTCCCCATGAGCCTACACTACTTTGGGAAAGAGACATCTTTGTGTTAATGAGAACAACAGTTAATTCTCGCCTGATTTAAAAAAAGACAACAGTGACATTTGTCAGCGGAGAAAGACATGCAGGCGAGGAGATTTATAAAGCGGGAGGGCAACGTCATTCATCACATGCGGCACTCGCCAGCAGACAGGTAGTGACTCACTAGACGCAGAGTTGTACTGGTGTCTGTCACCTATGTGCACCGGCCCTGCCCCCCTACGTCCAGACACGTAAGCATGTTGTCCCCACATAAGATCTGTGAGGTGGAGCTCCTCCCTGTGCTGGTGGTAGGGTGACTCACACACCGCCTCGGTAAGATGAATAATCTGACCTTTGAGAACTGTGTAAAACGAAAAAAGACTGAGACTGTTCTTCTCGACGTTGCCGTTTCCTTCTCAGTGCAACTTTACCATGTTTGGAGCAACTCTGCGTCATCGAGCACGGATTCCAGCAGCAACTTGTTGCACGGTCATGTGACCCAAACAAGTTTGACTGTAGCTCTTTCCCTCCGCGTGTCTCTTTGCCGACGCTGCAGGCTGACAAGAAACCCCACCCAGACCTCGAGCTCCACCGGCGACCGGCAAGCAGCGACAGCTGCAGCACGCCCCAGATAAAAATCAGGTTTAGGCTCTCCTGCCTCTCTCCTTTGCCAAGGCCACTGGCACAGTAGTTTGAGACTTCATGTGTTGACCCGAAGCGTAAAAGAAATAAGCACATTCAATTTGATCTGAATACTACTTTGTTTTAAATGCCGAAAAATTTTTTGGGGGGGTTTTGGGCTTTGTTAAACTTTAATTCCCCCGGGATTTTCCCCCCCCCCCCCCCCCCCCCGCAGACTTATCTCTCTCATCGACAGTCATGTTACAGCACTGCTCTTTGTTATATCTAGTTCTGCTTTGTGTGGTCAGGGGGTGTCTAGTGGAACAGTAAATCTCCTCAACTGATTTTATTTAAGGTGGATAGTGGATTTACTTTACTGGTGGAGTAAAGTTGATTTTGCATTACAAAACCACCACGCTCACATACACAGGTTGCATCTGTGTATGTGGGGTTGTTTTAATTTGACATTGCTTTTGTTGATTGCTGTCCGTGTGTTTTAGACATGCGTGATTTTTATGTAATTCAAACCTTCGATATTGTCAATCTACCTCAGTTAAATGTCAAAACAGCGCTACATAAGGCAACAAATAATAGCAAACAGGACATCAGTCAGAAGTCCAAACTGACTACGGCGACCCGAACCCAAGCCAGCAAACCAGCTGTAGCGGCTCTGCCCACAAACCCAAACATTTCTTGTAGGTTTGTATTAACGTATTACTGAACGTATTTTGAAGTATTGTTAATGCATTATTGTTCACATCTGTGTTTACCAGCGGGCCCTCTTCCACCTCACTCTACCCATCGTTCCGTCGCACCACACGATGACGACGTTCATGGCTTTCAGTGAAACAATTTCTCCAGCTTACTGGATGGAAGTCTGGGCCCGCACACATTGGGTGGAATTGCACTTTGTTCCAGCCCCGTCATCAAGCCCAATCATTTGGGTTTATGACATTTCTATCAGCATCAGCTGTACGTGTTTAGTGCTACTAGTTAGCAGCAGAATGTTAGCTCTGTCTTGCGATTGTGTCGTGTTACCGTGCAGATTCTAGCATATAGATTAAAGTGTGCATAGACCCTTTTTTAGCTTTTTTTTTACGTTGCTTTCAAAAATATTTTAAAAACTTTTCATGTATAGGTCTAAAGTTTGAGTAAAGATATCTTCTACATTTATTAGTAGTTATTGCGTCACACTCCTTTGCACGTCAACAACAGCTTTAGAAACTCACACAACATGTTGTAGGTGTAGTTTGATTCAAGCATTAACCAGCCTCGACTCTCCTGTTTCATTCATGTGTCCGTGGCTTTGTATTAGTAGCATTTCCCCAGTGGAATTGGAGCACATGGGATAATATGTAATCATGTATCATGTAATGTGGTGATTATCTGAGGAAATGAACATATTTGTGTACGGTGTGGTGCTGCTGCAGTGGAGGCAGCAACACGAGCCAGAGGATGGAGATCTGAAGCAGGGTGACAAGTGGCACTGGTGTGTGTGTGTGTGTGTGTGTGTGTGTGTTTATGTTAGGAAGAAGAGGTACCTTCGGTGGGGACGTGGCGTGTGAGTCATCTTGTAGAGACGTCACTGCTCCGTCATCAGTCGTCTGCAGCAGTCTGATACACACACACACACACACAGATACATCTAATAGGCTTTCAAAATATTCCTCTCAAAGTTAATTACCGGCAGACTCCCACTGACGTCCTCATGCAAAATCTAAATCAGATGTGTAATGATTAAGCGCAAGTAATTAAAGTAAGTAAACTCCATTCTGAATGAAACAATCTCAGTCGTTTGAAAGCACCAACGGGGTCAGTTGCACTGTGGTTGTGTTTTATATTGT